TAACACGCGCGACTGCTGCCTTATTTGTAACCCTCCTTTGCGCGCCTGCTACCTTGTGCTTGGTAGCTGATTTTCAGGCTCCCTCTCCGGAATCGGAAAATATCAATGGTCATTTTTCTAAACAATATACGGCTGATTGATCCCAAAGTTTAGATAAAATAAATATAGTTTAAAAAGACTAAAAAACATGCTTTTATAGCACACGAAACTAAAAAATAAAAAAAGTTTTTTTATTTTTTAAATATTTTTCACTGTTTAGTTCGATGTTCTTCAAAAGCGTGTTTTTTAGTTTTTTAACCTTTATTTATTTATTTAACACATATTTTTCCATATCATCGTACCTTTTTCTACCCCCTTTTCATTCACTTACTGCTAACTTTCTTGAAATTAGATTGAACTTCCATAATTTGACAGGTACTTAGGTATCTATATAACACAAGTCACTTTTTGTAAATTGCATTAAATTTCACAATTGTGATTAGAAAATTCTCTACCATATTTTTCAATAATCACTCAGAAACTTATAACGTTTTTGACTTTTTTAACTTCTATTTGGATAAATATTCGTTTTGAGGGCACCCGGCGATTTTGAAAAAATGTTCGAGTGTACTTACGTATTTTGATGTGTAAATTACGAATCCGAAAGAAAAAAGCGGCGCTCTCCCTTATTTACAAAGCTACGGCCCTTCAAAGTTCATCTTCTGCGCTTCCGTAGAAAAGTGTGTTTTTAAATAGTTGATCTTGTGAAAAAGAAGGCTGAAAAGTTGACCTTTTCTGAACTTCGAAGGGCCGTAACTTTGTAAATAAGAGAGAGCGCCGCTTTTCGGATTCGTAATCTACGCATCAAAATACGTAAGTACACTTACTTAAAAAAAAATTCAAAATCGCCGGGTGCCCTCAAAACGAATAATATTCACCTTATTTTTAGTCGGACTCAATTACTTTTCGAGATATACCCTGTTAAAATTAGTATGATGTCATATTTTACCTTTTTAAATAAATATTCGAAAATACGCTCTGACATAATACGTGTTCCGGACATATGTTCATGAGAAATTTTGTTCTTAAAACCCTCTGAAGTTTCATACCGTAGTTGTCTCTTACTGTTTACAAAATACCTATGCCTATATTCGAATTTATTTAGTCCTATATATATGTTTGAAAAATATTGAAGGCATCTATTCTTATTCACACCGATTACCAATAATGTATTTTTCTAATAGAATAATGTTTTTGCTTATAAGGTCACTTGGCAATTTTTCATAATAAGCGGAACAGCCGTAGGTGCACCATCTAATATCTTATATCCATATAACCTTTTATTTCCAGGACCGCTAAGATCCACCACTCCTGTCAATTACGAAATATTGATGAAAACTCCAAAACTGAGGGAAGCAAATTATTTCACTACTTCCACTTCAGGCTTGAATAACCAACATATTTTCCCCACTTCGAACCCTTCAGAAGTTATTCTTGACTTCCCAGAGAAATTCATCCCCCACACTCAAGCGGTCAATAATGCTAGTTACGTACCGATACGTGACAAAGAAGACGAATATGTTGAAGAGGATGAAACTACGTATACCGGATTTTTACCATTCTTGAAAATGGTTCAAAATAAGCTCATGAAATATAAAATTACATCGCATGAGAGTAAAATATCTGTCTTAACTCATTTGAGAGATAATTTATTGATGAATATTCGTAAGTTGAAATGAGTCACTGAACTAAACACATATCAATTTATGGTCAATATTTTATTTTTTAGATCATAGAATATCGAAATTGTCGAAACCAACAACTTCTCGTGAAGCTCGAGGTTATAAAAATGAAGAACATCATATGGAATTTCCATCTAATGAAGGTGCTCTCATGACTATTGGATTTCTTACTTTTGCAGTGTTCCTGATAAAGTTGGTCATGGTAAGTGATAGTTAGGGAGAGCAATTTTGCAATCATTCATATTTTGCGGTATATCATATATCATTCAGTGTATTTTGTTAAAAGCTTAATTCTGCAATCGACTGAAATGTGTTACTTAAATTAATAAATTCCAGTTTCATTGTAAATCTTTGAAGTATTAACGAAATTCAAGAGAAGTAAGCGTCTGTATAGAATATGTAGGGCAGAGAAACTGGACTTTCTCTAAAACCACAGGGTATTTTTTAACTACGGTACGAAACATTAGAGAGTAATTTCTTAGGTCGTTTTAAGAAAAAAGTTTCTATGAACATATGTCCGGAGTTGCTTTGTTTCTGAGGTACAGGGCGTTGAAGTAAAAAAAAAAAGTTAATTATGAAATATCATAAATATCCTCACACCGATTTGGTTGAAATTTTTTACAATTATTTTAAGTAGTTAGGCGCTTAATTAGCCCCAACTAGATAGGAATTATTAGGTCCAGTGGACTCTCAGTAGGCATCAACTGAAAATACAACTTTTTCTTCGCTTGTGTTTTCTTCATATCTGGCCTCGTTTTCGAGAAAAAAAAATGAAGCCACTTTGCATATCATGAAATTATGCTTAGGAGACCAGCTGACAGTGATAGTTTTATATCAGTAAAAGTTAGAGTTGTCAATTAGCAGTGATTCCATTATGAATAATTTTATTAACGCTGAAATTGCTGGCAAGCACTTTATTTATGGATCGGTAAATGGAAATGCGAAAGAAGCACGGATAATCTACCAGGACAGATATTTTAACAGAGTAATTCCATGTGTTACAACATTTAGAACGCTACATGCAAGATTATGTGAAACTGGGAGTTTTTATAAAAATGCAGGTGGTGGAAGACCAGAAACTGTAACAACGCCTGAACTAAAAGAAGCTATATTTGATGCGATAGAAGATCTTTCAAATAGTACCAGGAAGATTGCTCTGCAGCTGGAAGTCAGCCCAAAAACCGTATGAACAGTTCTGAAAAAAAACCTTCTGTACACAAGCGACGAAAAAGTTGTATTTTTAGTTGATTAATATGAAAAAATTAAAAACTACAAGTCGGGGCCCTTTTTTTTTTAATATTATTGGCTGTGGTGCCGACTGAGACTCCACTGGACTTAATAATTTCAATCTGGTTAGGACTAAATAAGCGCCTTATTACGTCGAATAACTGTAGCAAATTTCACCCAAATTCTTGTAAGGAGATTTATGATGTTTTATAAATACGGTTTTTTCAACTTCAACGACCTTTATCTCAGAAACGAAGCAAATCTGGACATATGCGATTGCGAGTTTTACGAATATGGAAGAAGTTATTGAAGCTGTGAATAAAAATGAAATGTGCTGGCAACTAGCTTCTAAAGTGTTTAACTTGGCTAGAATTGACTCTTAGAAGATATGAACTGAAACAAAATAAAGTCTTATCTCTAATAACAAATTAAACTACGTGTAGTATTAGCATGGATATAATCACGTTTGAGATGAAACGAGAGCTGGTTGAACATATTAAGCTACTGGAAACGAGATTGTTTGAGTTCACAGTTTGCAGACGTGAATAATATTCTTCATTATTTTAATTATAACAAGAAATTGGCAGGCAAATTTATTGTTGGTAGGATTTCGACGAAGACACCCGGACATATCATTGAGGAAACCGGAAGCGACTTCAGCTTGCAGCCCAAACAGCTGCAAATAGTACTTTTCCCAATAATTATCGATACATTATCCTAAGCAATACTATTTCTCCGCATATCAACAAAGACCCCAAAAGGTGTTCGGCTACTACAGGGCGTAAGTAGGTTGGGGCTTAACTAATGCTGAAAATGGGTCTCATGTGCATTTGCATAAGTGCAGATGGCTATTTTGTCCTGCCGTACTTAACCATGAAAGAGAAATTGATAGAAGAAGCTCCAATCGGTAGTTTGCGAATCACCTGTATTTTATAAATGTTTGTTGAATAATGAAAGCGAGCCTTGTTGACGAAGTGTTTTCGGTAGTTAATAAACATATCAGTCATAAATGAATTGAAAATTGAATACTCACAAAAGAGCATGGAATTATTATAGCGGGCTTGCACATATACCACATGCAACCGTCAGATTTGTCTTTCTATGATCCGCTGAACACCTATTTCAATCAAGAAGTGAGCACTCGGTTGAAGAACTACCCAGGCAGAGTTGTGACTCACTGTCAAATATGTGTGACACTAAACAAAGTTGATGGTACAGAAACAACGGTTCAAAATACAGTACTGGGTTTCAAAACATTATAGCAAAATACAATGGCAGCAGAAGACCTATCCATACTCTCTACAGGTCCATATCAGATTGAAGAAGGCATCACTGATAGATGCAGGCATATCAGCTGCATACATTCTCAACATCCATATCTGGAGACACACCTGCTGCAATACCTACGACACCCACATCTAGTTTGATACTCCAAGACATGAATATCAATAATCCAGTCAGCGTGACATCTCCAGTACTGAAAGGAATAAATGTTGGAGGACGAAAACCATCCAAGAAACCAACAGTATTGTTGTTAACTTCTACAGCAAATCCGCTAGAACAAAATCCGCTCCTCCATCTCTTGCAAAGAAAAAAAATCAAGAAAGATCAAAAGCTTTTATTTTGTGTTCCCACAGTGTTTGAGTTGTGGAAGAAGGCATCATGTATCACTTGCAGATGTTCCGACAAATACAAAGTGTTTTACATGTAAACTATAAATGTAATGGACTGATTTTTGGTACAAATTTGGTGCGTTATTTTATCCATACCACATATTTCATTTTAGCCACCTAGGGCGGACAAAACAGTTTTTTCAGAAATGTTCAATGATTAATTTGTTTTTTGATTAAGTTAATTGATCTCCATGATTCTAACTACGTGTCAAACCAGAGTTAAAAATTATCAATAAATAAAGATGCTGGTATATCATTTTGTACGCCTCTCTCTTGGGTGAATATAATATCTATGAATTGATTCAAAGATCATTACTCTTCCATATGAACTATGATATACTATCGGATTGGAATGCCTTTTTGAAAAGTTGAACGTGAAAGTAAACTTCAAAACTTTTTGCTCACTATTTTAAAATTATTGGAAAAATTATCTTCGAATTTCTACCCAAATTAAATGATGTGTGTCTAAAAGTGTACCCTGCTAGATATAAATAGAGGCCAGATTTATAGTTTAGAATTTGTCTACTCACCTCCTGAAGATGCCGGCTTGGTTGGTGAAACACACGTCGAGAAGAGGTTTGCAGCTCTGGTGTTTGGACAGGAGTTCCAGATCTACGTTTCTTTCAAAATTATGGAATTGTTTTCAAGACTCAATTTCTCTACAAATTGAAGCCTACACGAATCATAACATTCTGAAATTTACGGGTTTACACTAAAATTTAATGAATCAAGTATGTACCTATACATTATTAATTTAATCCATCTTGACTGAATCTATTTCTTTTGGAAACATTTTGGAAAAATAACCTGTTAAATTCGTGAATATGTCTAAAATCGTCCTTGTAACTGATGAAAATGTTAGATCAATGTTAAGAATATTTCGAGGACATCCCGAAGTGACATTTAGTCAATATCTGCCATTCTGAAGAAGATTACTGAATCAAATGTACTGAAAAAAATACAGGAGTCCAATCTGAAGTTCGTGCCTGTAAAAAAATTATGCACAGCTCAGGAAACTCTACTAGAAATATAACTCATGTAGACAGAGACATCAATAATGGAATATCCAACAATGAATATAAATCTCTCAGTCTCATTTTATTGAATATACAGTCCTTAAGAAAAACATTGATGAATTATATATATTTTTGGATAGCCTAAGTTTTCCAAGTCTACTCCTACTGACTGAACACTGGTGCAATGAAAATGAACCTATTAATATACCTGACTACACGGTGGTATCTAGTTATTCCAGAAAGTCTTCAAAACATGGTGGAACTGCCATTCTAATGAAAAATAATGCTGTTATTGACTTCATGTTCACTAATGTTGACAAATTTAATGGATTAGTAGAAGATATAAATTTTGAATTTTCTATCTGCTACTGTAAGGCAAATAATTTATATATTTTGTGCATATATCGTTCTCCCTCCTCAGATGTTAATATATTTTTGAATAATTTAGAATTAATACTGTCTCAATTATCTGTTAATTGTTCTTTGATTGTTACCGGCGATTTCAATATTAACTATAATGATCTTGAATTGCCAGCCACCGATTCTCTGAAAAACCTACTTTTGTCATTTAACTTGACTATATATACCCGTATCTCACAATTTTCATCTACTCTCATTGACTATATTTGTAGCAACTTTGATGAGCAGAAAGTATTATGTTCAGTCAGCTCTTTAGGTTTATCTGACCATGGGGCAGTTTGCTGCTCAGTGCCGTTCTGGTTGTCAAAGAAGAAAAACAAATGTGAATATTGAAGACTGTTTAGCAGGACAAATTATAATAGGTTCTATCAGAATTGTCTTCAGACTGACTGAGAAATTAATCTATCACATAATGATCCTTTCCCTTTATTTCACATCTAAATGGATGTATTTGAGGCATCATGTCCTATACAGAAAATCAAAATTAAACAAAAAAAAAACAATATGCGGTCGATGCATTATATTCGGAAATTCACAAACAATCTTTATTATTTAAACTACTTTAATAATTACCGTAGAATTTATAGATTGACAATCAAGCGAGCAAAAGAAATATTTTACAATAATAGACTCAGTGAGTCTCACAATAAGATGAAAGAGTCCTGGTCAATTATAAATGACCTAAGAAACTCAAAAAAAAAACGAAAATGTAACATTACTCCAAATCCTGATACTATAAATGACTTTTACTGCTCTATTGCAGAAAATACGAGTAAAAATATTGCTAGCCATTATGATCCATTAGTACATCTAGAAAATTTGGGCATAGATGAGAACCTGTCTCTGTATGACACCAACATTAATGAATTGATTGAAATTATGATGGATATTAAAAACAAAAATACTGCTACGGTGACATTTCGATCAAAATTATACAAAACCTTCCTCCTAGTGCCCTAAATGTACTGGTTTCACTGATAAATCTATCCTTTTAAACAGGCATATTCCCCTTTTTTCTAAAAACCTCTGTGGTCATTCCTCTGCATAAGGGCGGAGACTCTGATGATCCCTCCAATCTCCGCCCCATATCTCTCATACCAACCATCGCAAAAATTATTGAAAAACTAGTTAAAAAACGACTACTTGGATTCATAAATACGCATAACATCATCATTGAAAATCAATTCGGCTTCCAGAATAATAAAAATACTCATGATGCTATTTTCTCATTTCTGATTAAAGTTTATACTGAGATAAATGTCGGTGAAAAGACTGCCGCAGTATTATGTGACCTGTCAAAGACATTCGACTGCGTTGATCACAAAATACTGCTGAGAAAGCTCCAACGTCATGGATGCAGAGGAGTAACTCACAAATGGTTCGATTCCTACTTAATGGGACGGACGCAAATGGTGAAAACAACTCAACTTTCAAAAAAAAAGGAAATCAATTCTGGAGTTCCACAAGGTTCTGTGTTAGGTCCCATTCTTTTCTTATTATATATTAATGACCTCACCAAGCTTAATATTTCTGGGAAGTTCACCTTATTTGCAAATGACACTACCATACTTTGGAATAATAAAAACACGTGTGAGTTGCACAAAATAATCTCTGCCGACTTGAAAAAAGTTAAAGGTTGGTGTGATTCAAACATTTTATCTTTTAACTCAACTAAAACAGATTTATTATCATTTAGATGCTCAATCAATGAACTTTTTTTGAAGACAGATCACTGGAATCTAAAAATAGCACTAAATTTCTAGGAGTCTTCATTGACCAGAATTTAAAATTTGTGGATCATGTTAAACTACTCACTGGAAAAGTCTCCTCTCGCTGTTATGCGGTTAGAGTGATTTATAAAGAATTGGGGTTCAGCACTGCAAAGATGGCGTACTTTGCACTCATAGATTCTCACTTACGCTACGGAATACTGTTTTGGGGAGCATGCAGTCCAACTTTCTTCAAAAGTCTACTAATTTTACAGAAAAGGGCAATAAGGTATATAGGAAACTTTAAACCAATAGACTCGTGTAGAACCTTCTTCAAAAAACATAATATTCTAACGGTAACTGCATTATTTACACTGGAATCTGTGTGTTTAATAAATATAACACCCGAAACTGCAGGCACACTCTGAAACTCACTGTGCCAACTAAAAACATTACCAGAGACTCCATATTTTACAACGATGGAAAAATGTACAATCATTTGCCTATGGACATCTGATCTGCCAATATAAATGACTTCCAATTTAGGAAGTTAGTCAAACAATTTCTATTTGATAGACCCTATTATACTCTGGATGAATATTTTAACGATAGCTTTTAACTAACTTACGCATATTTTTTGTCTTTACTTATTAATGAGCTCTTAAGTTGTTACTTTTTATGTCCACTCTTTTATAAACTTGACTTTTACTTTTTTATATATACATATCTTTTATATCTTCCATTTTAACATAGTTTGTACCCATGCACCATTTATATTTTCATTTTTATTTTTTTAGTTGGTATGTATTGCATTTTTTTAAGTATGTACTACCCAAGCTTTGTCTACAAGATTATGTCTTATGATGATAAACCATATTATTATTAATATTATTATTATCAAATACATGGATTGTGTTTGAATGAAATTTGGTGTAAAAAATAGAATAAAGTGCTCAAAAATACTTGAAATATTGACAGTGGCATACGGTGATTGTACTCTGAGTCTGAAAAAGTTTACAAGTGGTACAAAGTGTTCACAGAAGCTGGAAAGGATCCGAATGACGACGCTCGCCCTGGACGTCCCAGCACATCAACGACCAATGAAAATCTTGAGAATATAAAAAAATTGTTATGGAGAATCGTCAAATTACTATTAGAGAAGTTGATGAGGATGTCGGCATATCGGTTGGCTCATGCCATCCATTTCGGAACTTTTGGGTGTGAACCGTCGTATGAGCTTCGCTCAGGAATTGTTGAATGACGTCATCGGCGATTCGGATTTACTCAAAAGGGTCATAACTGGTGACGAATCATGGCTATATGGTTATGACATCGAAATAAAAGTCCAATCATCCCACGCAAAATTCGATCAAATTTCAAGGTTTTGCTCACTGTTTTCTTCGATTAACGTGGCGTAGTGCATCAGAAATTCTTCCCACATGGTCGTACAGTCAATAAGGAGTATTATTTTGAAGTTAAGGCACCGCTTGCGAGAAGCAATTCGAAGAAAATGTCCGGTATTGTGGAAAAACAATTCATGGCATTCGCATCACGATTATACACCTGATCACTCATCATTGCTTGTTCGTAGTTTTTTTGAGAAAATAATACAATAATCATGTCTCAGCCACCGTATTCACCCCCCCGCGACTTTTTCCTGTTCCCAAGATTGAAAGAACGGCGTTTTGCAACGATTGAGTACATAAAAACGAAATCGCCGAGAGAGCTCAAGGACATACCAAAAAGTGCATATCACACCTGCTTCGATGATTTAAAAAAAACGCTTGCACACGTGTATTATATCTGAGAGAGACTATTTTGAAGGGGACAAAATAGAAATTGATAAACAAATGAATATTCTTCGAGAAAAATTAAAATTCACATTATATTTTGAACAGACAGCGTATACATTAATTTATTTCTGACCGGGATATTATAAGCTTATATCGTCATAGTTAAGCTATCAATAAAAAGGGTCATAACTCCCTTGGGACATTATAGATTTTATAATTCCCTCTACCTTTCACAAGTAAAAATAAATAGAAATGAAAACTGAACCATATTTTATTTATTCACGTCATTACAAATAATAAATGTACAATTTTGAAATGTTCCCTGAAAATTACTTCCGCCACTGGAAATAATTTCTTCTTTTTTATGGCTGGAGCTTCCGTTCACTACAGTCGAGGTACCTGCCTCTTCTGATGACAAAGTAGACAACATACGCGCCGTTTTATTTCTCAATTCGATGCTATCCTCCAAATACCCCTCCGCCACCGTGGAACTTTTCCAACCTCCGTGTCTTTTTAAGTTAGTCATAGTTGCTCCTGCATTGGCTAGAGCAGTAGCAGAAGTGCGACGAAGGCAATGTCCCGTATAGGAAGATGAGTTTGGCAATCCTAAATACATTGCGATTTTGCTGGGGATTTTCCCAAACATGTTTTTTCCAATTGGCTGAGATGTACATTTATTTTGTCGGAAGCTCAAAAAAAATCGTTCAATACCTTTAGGACGCAAAGACATATAAAGTCTTAATAAAGGCAAAGCGGAGAACTCTTTTTCATCCACAACTGTAAATTTCTTCGATACACCAGTTTTACTTTCCGGTACGTTCACTACCATAACGGAATCCCGGTCCTCTATATCCGATATCTTCATATTCAAAAGTTCCTGACTTCTGCATCCTCCAAAATAACCCATAATCAAAACAACCTATAACAAAAAAAAAGGAAATAAATACACACAAAAAGGAAAATAAGAAAAAAATTACCTTATGCAATAAATGAATATCATTAGGAGCGTCCTTTAGGAATCAGATAACATCTTTAGGAGATAAAACAGCAGACTTTTTCGGCTTATAACTCTTACTCTTCCGTTTCAAAAAAGCCTGTAGTTCATTGAACTTGGTGATATCTCGTTTCTCGTGTATAGTCACCATCGATTTTAGCATTGACCATTTAGTCCATAAAGAATTCGGACTATACGTTTCTGACTGAAACGAATAAACACAATTACTACCAAATCTACCGAAAAACATAGAAAATTCCTTACCAGTTCTTGAAAATATGCCAGAAATACAGTTTCAGTGACATCTTTTGGCATAACATTTTTCCGTGTCAGCCAGTCCAGATATATCTTGTATTCTTTTTGGTATACGGCTTCACTTTTCGATGGAATTAATGATTCTCTTGCTTGTTCAGCTTTTTTCAAAATATCCTCCATTATATTTGGGGTAGAAAACACGTTTTCACCGCAAACACAGCTTGATAACAAAGTTCTGTTTATAAACAAGTAACATAGCAACAACCTAGCAACAAGAAAACTCTACTATAATCAACGGTACCTGATTCAAATATACCGGGAAGGTAATGAATTGGTACATTTTTCCGTTTCAAAAATGAACAAAATTTTATTGAAATCGGTCAGAAATAAAATTATCTATGTACCACGGGAATTAGTGAGCCTTAATAACCTCAGGCAATTGCTGTCCCTCGGGCCAGAGGCCCTCGATGCCTGTCAATCAAATCAGTTATTTTTGTGATTTATTAACTTTTTCTAAGTAAATGACGATACTAACATAGTTTATTATTTAAAGCATTAATTCATTATTTATTATTTATTTCAGAAACTAGTCTATGCTCTGAAATACAAGTTTCAGATGTATGCATCTACTACAACGACTACTACGGCTGCAACCGTCCTTTTGTTGAACAGAAAAAAACGAGATGAAGATATCGAAAATGCTTCCAGAATATTGCAGTACATTGAAGAATTTCCACATATAGATGCAGATAGCATAACTACGATGAACAGAATTCCGTATAAGAAAACCAAAAAATAATTTATGTCAAAACCGAATCAGAAAATAATAATTTTAAATCTATCCGTGATAATAATTACACATATTTCACAATACATTTTTTAAGACCAGTTTCGCCATACAGTAGCTTCATCAGTTGGACTGTTACATCAAACTAATCTGCAATGTATTTTATATAACAGTAGGTAATCACAAAACTTGATTAGATAAATGAATATTTCTGGTAAAACAGGTAGATTCTGAAAAAACAATTATTTAGTCAACATTAATAAAATAGTTTTCTTAAAATGTCAACAACTAACATATTTATAAATTACTTGTTTTCCTAGAAGTAATATTGTATTGTAATTGTTTTTCAAAATCTACATGTTTTATCAAAATTAATCATCTCTCATCTGTCTACTAAACAGACGAGGAAAAATTAATTCCAAGTGTATTGCTAGTATTTATAAACTATATTCACAAATAATAATCAAATGACCTCTGAATTCGAAAACGAACCTGACCTACTAAATTGAAAAACTCATGTATTCAAGAAAAGGGATATAAATGGTGCGATGATATGGAAAAAAATGTGCAAATAAAAAATATATGAATTGCTATCTGTTTATTGCTCTAAAGAAAAATATGAGTCATATTCTACCTTTTTCATATTATATGACAGCATACTAACGTTGACAAGTTATATATCTAAAAATAAAAAGTGTTTCGAATTTCTACCATTATGCAGTATCATCCCAGAAAAAACCGCGAAAATCCATGAGTATTCCATTAAGTAGTATTTTATTTTTTTCACAAATGACATTTGAAATATTGAAATTTAGAAAGAGAACAGCTAACCAAAAAAAGACAACCGCTTGACAGATAAACGTGCGCCACTAGGCACCAACAGTTGAACAAATGCGCACATCAATATTTTTGAATATTATATGCATCTATGTCATTCAACGTTCTCATTTTAGGTATAAATGCCATAATCAAATGGAAGTTAAAACATTAAAAAACGTTATAAGTTTATAGGTGATTTTTGAAAAACATAGTTTTTGGTTGGTAGAAAATTTTCCAATACCAATAGTGAAACTTTATGCAATTTACAAAAGTTATTTGTGTTGTATATGCCTGAAAACCTGACGAATTATGGAATTTCAATCTGATTTCAAGAAATTTGGCAATAGGTGAATGAAAAGGGATGGAAAAAGGTATACGATGATATGGAAATAGATGTGTTAAATAAAAAAAAAGGGAAATTGCAATCGTTTATTGAGTAAAAAAAGGTAAAATATGACATCATACAAACTTTGACAGGCCATATCACGAAAACTAATCGAGTCTCATAAAAAATAAGTGTTCTGAATTCTCACTATCATTTAGTATCATCCCAAAAAAAATGGCGAAAAGCCGTGAGTATCCCATAAAATATAATTTTCCCAAAGAAAGCAGCAGAATGAGTGCCCTTGTCAAGTCCTCTAATATAATAAAAGTAAATGTACCTATATATGTACGATTTTTTTTCAAATTGATGGAATAACCTGCTAAAACCACAGTTGTCCCCGCAAGAAGCGACCATCGGTCCTAAACTACTTACACGGAGGAAGGCTCTCAGCTAGGAATCTTATGATAAAGTCGTAGGATTTTAGATGACTTCTCAGATCAGTAGAATCGTGACCTCCTGAGTTTATTTGGGGAAAATTTTACTTTATGGGATACTCACGGATTTTCGCGATTTTTTCTGTGATGATACTACGTGATGGTAGGAATTCAGAACACTTTTTATTTTTTGTCGGACTCAATTAGTTTTCGATATATAGCCTGTCAACGTTTGTATGATGTCATAATTTACCCTTTTCTTAAGCAATACACGATTGCAATTCACATATTTTTTATTCAACACATCTTTTTCCATATCATCACACTTTTTTCTATAGCTTTTCATTCACTTATTGCTAAGTTTCTTGAAATTATATTGAAATTCCATAAACTCAACGTAACCTAACTTAACCTAACCCGCCCTAACCTAACTTAGTCTAACCTTACTTTAGAATTTTAAAAAACTATGTATCCTCAACATCCAACTTGACTCCCAAATTCTAAAAGGAATGTATTTTCGAATATTCACTTTTGTAAAAACTATCTTTACTCAACATCTAACCTGACCACCGAATTCTAAAAGGAACGTATTTTCGAATAGTGAAACTTATTGCAATTTATAAAAAGTGATTTGTGTGCACCTGACAAATTATGGAATTTCATAATAATTTCAGGAAACTCACCAATAAGTGATTGGAAAGGGTGCTATGATATGGAAAAAACTGTGTTGAATAAAAAATGTGAATTGCAATCGTTTATTGCTTTTAAAAGAAGATAAAATATGACGTCATACAAACTTTGACAGGTTATATCTCGAAAACTAATTGAGTCCGACAAAAAATAAAAAGTGTTCTGAATTCCTGCCATCATGTAGTATCCCTGAAAAAATAGCGAAAATCCGTGAGTATCCCATAAAGTATAATTTAGCCTTTATTTGCAAAAAGGGTCGGTTTTGTTCATTTTTGTATGAAGAATAGTCGATGAGCTAACTTTCTTTTCCACTATGTTGATGTGACAGTGAAGAGGCTGGGGTTGATGGAGGTGGACCAATTCCACGATATATTCATTTATACATCTCTGACTACATAATTCAATTGATTGATTGACTTTTTTCTTCATTGTTAATAAAATCGTGTGAGTATTCATTTATTTTAAAAAATCATAAGTAAAGGTAAATTTAGCTGTTACAAAGTTTTGGGGAGAAAACAAAATATTGAATATTAAATGTGGGAAACTTTTGAAGAAAGGAAGAAAGGAAATAATCACGCTAAAAACTATTTATCAAGATATGTATATCATTCACAGAAGTATCTTTTAGATACCAAAAAAACTCTTCCGAAACCTATACATTCACATGAACTTTGAATTACAAGAAAGAAAAATGTTCTTTTGAAACAACTACTTCCATATTTTTTCAAGGACAAAACATAAGTACTACAGGAAAATCCTTAAGGCGCTCTGAGAGCGGTGCCGTGCGAAAGTAGCGATTCACGTTGGATTTGAACCGGTGGAAATTGAATCTATTTGGAAATATGTTCTCAGAAAGTTTATTCCACATAAAGGCAGTTCTCTAAATGAAAGAGCTCTTAAACAGTGAAGTTCAAGGTGTACTGAGTTGAACCTCAAAACGATGAACAGCCATAGTTCGTCGCGTATTTCCGATATGTACAGCTCTTGGTGGAATCGAATGTGCCAAGTCACTTGAACATCTCCTGTTAAAGTATCTATGAAAGAGAGACAAATCTTCAATCATTCTTCAATGTTCCTATCAAGGTGGAAAGTGATGTTCGTGTCTTTGGTCAGGCGGATGGCTCTTTTCTGGAAAGAATCCAGCAGCTTCAGGGTATGCTTAGGTGCGGAGCTTCATACATGAGAACAATACTCCAAAGAAGGTCTGATCTGAACTTTATAAAACATCAAAAGTTGCTGGGGTGTGTACAGTTTTCTGGTTCGGAACAGTGTTCCAAGCTTCTGAGACGCAGCCTTTGCAATTCCAGCTACATGATTATGCCAAGACATATTGGTGTCCATTTTAACACCCAACAAACTTATCGAAGCGGAAAGCGGAATTGTCTGACCTGATATTATTATATCCGGTTCGGAGACATTCATCTTTTTGGAGAATACTGATGCCTGGATTTTAGTGGTATTGAATTTAACCTAGTTACTTTCACCTCTAGATCTCCATTAAGGTATGATCGCTCAGATGTTGAAGCCTTCCAAATACTCAAGGATATGGTGGTTTACAGCTTTCTTCATGATTTTTGATATCGTTGATAGCAAAACTACTGGTCTATAGTTATTAGAAAGATTTGTTTTGCCCTCTTTGAGAATAGGCTGAACGCGAGCAATATTCCAACAAGAAGAAAGAACAGGTTGAAAAGTATGCAAAATACTGGTGCAAGTTCATTGGCGCACTTTTTAAGTACGATGACGGGCACTTCTTCATCAGCCTTTGCAATTCCAGCTACATGATTATGCCAAGACATATTGGTGTCCATTTTAACACCCAACAAACTTATCGAAGCGGAAAGCGGAATTGTCTGACCTGATATTATTATATCCGGTTCGGAGACATTCATCTTTTTGGAGAATACTGATGCCTGGATTTTAGTGGTATTGAATTGAACCTAGTTACTTTCACCTCTAGATCTTCATTGAGGTATGATCGCTCAGATGTTAAAGCCTTCCAAATACTCAAGGATATGGTGGTTTACAGCTTTCTTCATGATTTTTGATATCATTGATAGCAAAACGACTGGTCTATAGTTATTAGAAAGATTTGTTTTGCCCTCTTTGAGAATAGGCTGAACGCGAGCAATATTCCAACAAGAAGAAAGAACAGGTTGAAAAGTATGCAAAATACTGGTGCAAGTTCATTGGCGCACTTTTTAAGTACGATGACGGGCACTTCTTCAAGGCCAGACGCCTTTGTCAAAGACATTGAATTACATGAAAATCACTTTTCCCATTCAATATCTCCTTTAAAGGGAATTGATATTCTCACTTACATGCAATACAAACATCCTCAATGATGTAATTCGAAGATTCGGGACAATCAACTTATGTTATCACCTCATCAACACCGTTTTGGAAAATATTACAAGACAAAGCAATCATTTCTTTCATTAACTCTTCTGTTGATACACGTCGTAATATAATGAACGAAATGAATGTTTCATCTTGTAATGTTAACCGAAATGGTGCTGATGAAGTGCTGATACAAGCGTTTTGTCCCGAAACTTCGAAAAACACAAGTAATTCACATTTTATATCAATACACTTTTATATAAATATCACATTGTGATATCCATATGAATTTCGGTTTCAATTTCATATCGATTATTTATACTACAAACTGAATGTGATTTTCATATAACTCAATGTTCATAGTAGTTGTTTCGAAAAAAACTTCTATTTGTTTTGCTTTCTTTTTCCAAGATTTTCCATATTTTGAGGAAGAAGAGAACTGAAAAGTTGTTTCCCCAAATACTAATATCTCCTAAAAATATACACTTTTCAACTAAAATAGTTTGAATTATAATAATAAGTTCTATATGAAGACAAATAAGCAAGTGTATTTAATCCTCAATTCCAGATATTGAAAAAATCAAGTATATTGCTGATATTGATATCCTTTGTTCCATTTTCTATAATTTCGACACTCAAACAAAATTTCATAAAAATGATAATTCAAAATTCCAAAATACTTTTTTGTCACCCTTTTTGTCAACTTAAAAAAAAACTATCCAAGCAGTAATTATCGATAACATAAAAGTCGTACATATTTACCCATAGTTTCTTGTTGAATTTCCACTTTATATGTTGGATTGTCGTAGGCGGACTGACTAACTCTGGACGGGGGAGTAATGGCGGCCTTATTTTGATTATGTCGTCGTATCAAAATGAGTAACAAAACAAGCGTACTCATAATTGCAATGGCTGCCAAAATTGCAACAATGACTAGAGGACCATAATAATCTCCTTTCATTTCTAATTGGTAGGCTCTTGAAAGTTTATCTGAAAAAATATTCAAAAAGTTATTCAAGAAAGAATGGAATGAGTGAAATATCAGCAACGTATAAAAATCAATATAAATAAAATATATAGAGAGAAAAAAAATTGTGAATCAAATTATAGTATTGTCAAAAATATACCGAATTGACATGAGTAGATTCAACTCATTCCCTGACAAAAAGATGTAATTTATGAACGAATTGAGTGTTTTTTTCTTATAAAGTTCTCCGTATTTGTTCCGGATGTTTATCAATGAAGATGACAGTGTTCCATGTAAATGAAATTTTACTTTTTTCATTAATTACTTTGTATAGGAATCCTGTGACTGAAATCTGATTCGATTCCATTACGTTTCCAAAAAAGTTAGCACAGCAGTTAGCTGTGTCCAAGATAAAAATTAACAGCATGGGGATATCGGAAAAGGTAAATGATACGGGGTCGATTGAGAAAAGTAGCGCATTTATGTGCCTAATAATATGCCGTTCAGAAAGTTTTAATATTCCGAGTAGTTTCGGAGATGTCTGAGAAAAACTGAAATTTGAGAATTTCGTTTTGATTTTCTCCTAGCTTTTTCCATTTTTAACACAAATTAGGTAGGTAGCGAGATGTAAAAGTAGGAATGGTAATATGTTGAAAATTCTACCAAAAAAAGTAGTAATTATTATGACAACAGAACATTATGTGTCATTTTTTCCAGCGCGTACTATCTAAAATTGAACAGAAGCAGGTTAAGTAATCATTTTTCATTTTGCACGAGAAATAGTTATGAAATCATATTGTGTGATACGTTGCTGTTTTCACAATGAAAAATGGAGTCATATACCGGGTATACTTTAGTTTCGGCCCATATAAAAATACAAAGCTGATGATGTTTTCTAAAAGACGAAACGTCGCAGAAACATTCCACGTCATTCCATCAATTCATCACCCAGGAGTAATAAAGCTGCACAACCTAATCGAAGTCATTTTTTCTACGGATGCTATACAATGTGCCACTTCTCTCATCGCTTTCGTACGTTCAAAACGAAAGATTTCTCACGCAGTGAGAAATATCCGCCATTACAGTGACAAATAATTTCTCACTGTTATCACGATAACCCAAGTCAGTCATGAAGAGTTGTCAAGAAGATTGAAATCATCTACATTATGGTCTCAGTACTCAATGCAGAGGATAGTACCTTAATTATTAAAAACTGTATTGATATATCAAAATACGTAAAACTACGTGCATTTTTAAAACGCAAATTTGAAAAATATGCTCCAAAACAGTCAAAAACATTAACTTCTGAAGAAATTCCAAAATTTTTAAAAGATTCACTTGATGAAAAGTATTTGTTGATGAAGGTATGAACTGAAATTTTTTAAATTGTTATCGAAAAATAAATGTTTCGTTTTGATTTCAGTCTGCTTCAGCTATTGGCCTTACAGGGGCATGCCGTGATGAACTTCGAAAATTAAAAATTAATGACATGGAAGATCTTAATTCGGCCCTTTCAATAAAATTACCCGATACTAAAACCAAGGTTCCTAGAAATTTCACATTCATAGGAGAATTCTACCAAATTTACGAAAAATATGTGAAGCTTCGATCATGTACAAATAAAACACATTTTTTTAAAATTAAATTACAAAAATAGCAAATGCACGAAACCACCTGTGGGGATCAATAAATCTGGCACCATGGCGAAAGAAATAGCGAAATTTTTGCAATTACCGAACCCTGAATTATATACTGGCCACTGTTTCCGAAGGTCATCTGCGACTATTTTAGTTAATGTAGGGGCAGATCTTCTAACTTCAAAACGTCATGGGGGTTGGAAATCCAGCAATGTTGCTGAATCTTATATCGACAACTCCATAGCTAACAAAATAAAAATTTCAAAAAGTATAGTAGAATCCATCAGCCTCCAGCGCCATTAGAACCTGAACACAACAAATCTGTGGAAGCTTAGTACTTTTCCCCATCAACTTCAACTTCGACCGTAGCTTATATTTCAGTTACCGAAAACATGTTGAAACAAAACGATCTACCAGGAATTACTTTACAAAATTGTTGAAATATAACTGTTAATTACTATTTTAAATAGAATATAAAAATGGGTTAATGACATACAAGTAATAATACTTGTATGTATTTTAATTTTCAATACTTGAAAACAACGCAATCGTAGAAAAAGTACAGTGTACAATGCGTCAGAAATGACCTATTTCTCACTCGCTTGATTTGCGGCACAAACTTCTGCACTCGTGAGAAATATGTCGTTTTTCTCACTTGTTGTACAATATACTATTAATACAGATCTTTAAATGACCTATTTCTCTCTCGCTTGATTTGCGGCACAAACTTCTGCGCTCGTGAGAAATATGTCGTTATTCTCACTTGTTGTACAATATACTATTAATACAGATCTTTAATTAACTTAGTTTTTAAACAGTTTTATTAAGCTTGCCCTGTTTGTTTGGGTCAAGTTTAATAATTGAAGTTTGACTCTCTGTTAACAGATTGATCTAATATTTGGTACACACACTTAGTTTTGATGGCAATACAATTTGATGAATTCTGTATCATTGTAAATCCAATATGGCCGCAGCTACAAAATGGCGGATTACATATTTTTTCACCAACTACCTCAATATGGGTATCAAATGACAGGACTTGACTAGTCTTTCACATATAATTTGTTTTCTGAATTATGATCCAGATTGAGAGTTGAAACCAAAGGAGAAATGGGTTTTGTGAATATTGAAGCAGAAGTAAAAACACACCAATCCCTTTTTCTCCACCCATTCTGTTTTTACTTAACTTATAAATTTAGCATTTTTTCCAAGGAGTTTGGTATCATTCGTAAAAATATTTATTGAAAAATATTCTCCGGGATGAAGAAAAGGAATTATATAAAAGAAATATGTCACATTTATATCAACACTGTGATAAAACACCCGCAGTTATTTTCTGTTATATAAATCGTCCTATTACATATCAATTTCTCTGTTATCTGAAGTACTCACTTTCTATATTTTGATGTAATGTTAGTGTAATGTTCGATGCAATTGTCTATTTTTGATTACATAAGTACTAACCTTGTTGTGAAGCTGCTCCCAAGACAGGGGCTACCCTGGGCTTGGTATTGAACTCTTGAACATTACTGGTTTTTATCTTACCATTTGTAAGATAAACTTCTAACCACAATCTATACCTGGTGCCGGGTTTCAAATCCATGATAACCGTTTTCGTCGCAGAATCTCTCTTGGCTATTTTGAACATGCTTTGATCTTCTTTGCCAGTATCGCTCTGATAAATGGCCCTGTATATATTGACATATTTGTCTTCAGGATAGGGTACGCCCTCCCAAGATATTTCTACGCTTTGTGATTTGATATGAGATATTTCCAATGTTACATTGAAACCATAAGTATCGATTTCGTTAGCAGTTGTGAAGTGCAACATCTTTTCAGCATGGAGCTCCGTTAACTGTCCTGGGAAAGGTATAAAGAATATTCCGATCTCGTATTTGGTATTCGGTTTAAGATTTTCCAATGTATAGGTCGTTACGGCTCTATGTATTAATGGAGTGGCTGCGTATATTTTTCCCTCAATCTCTCTGTACCTCAATTGAACTCCATCAATGAATCTGTAAGTAGATTAAGAATGTAAAAACTATGATGAAAATGAAGAAAAATGGATCAATACACTGCTATTTAGCATGAACCTATGAAATGCGCCATAATGAATTTCCCACTCTTCTCAGTCTTTGCAAATCTTTAAAAGGAAGGCTTCGAAACCAAAGCCATTACATAGATGACGACTTTGTTATAAGGCCCCATGAACTCGAAAGTTTCCATACATTTTTAAACTACATCGATTCCGAACATTCCAACCTAAAACTCACAATGGAAATAAAAAATTGCAATTATCTTTCATTCCTTCCGATCTCATCACAAAATCCAACAATTTCTTCTTACACTGTGTTTATCGAAAACTAACCTATACCAACCGTTACCTCAATGGTAAGTTTCATCACCATCCTGCCCCACTGAATTCCGTTTCCAATGTTGTAATACACAGATCTATCAGGCTCACTGATAAGTAAGATCCAAGGAACCAGACGAACTTTCCGTCACAACAAGTATACCAACTCCCGAACCAAAAGATCGATCTAACTCCAGCAAACCCATATTCCACATCTTGAACAACCCGATATCCAGATCATACAAAAGCTTTTATTTTCTATATCAAACTAATTCCGAAAATAGACTCCAACAGAGCCTATGAATATGAGCTAGCCGTTAGTCAGTCAGATCCAGCCTCATCTCTCTTCAAACACCATTTCGAAACATGCCACACACACAATAAGCATGTATAGCGAAACACGTGTTGCGTTTTTGTAAAACTGTTTAGTGAAAATCTCACAATGAAGTGTTTCTTAAATAAAGTACTTGTTATTTCGTAGTTTTCAGTTAGTTCGTATCGGATGGCCTGATTATCTCATTATTAATTTTTGAGTTCTTGTAACATTTGCATACTGAAGCCAGTTTTTTGAGGTATATTCCCTCTGACACTTCATATTCTATAAGAAAATAAATATTTCGGAATAAAATCTCGAAACAATCGTCTCACCCAACGTTGTTTTTCGGCAAGCATATACCAGAACCTAGTGTGTAGGTACGTTGGGAGAGATGAATGTTTCGAAATTTTATTTCAAAATATTCATTTTCTTATACGTATGTATCTCTCCTCGATACAGTCTTCCGAATTACTTAGACTTCATATCCTGAATAGTTAAAAACCATTTTTTATGAAAAAAGTAAATGCACTCCTCCCATAAAAAACAGTGGTCATAAACCGACCAATAAATCTGTTTAAAATCTGTTTTTCCGTTAATAATTTCGAAGAAATGCGTGGGCAGACATTCATATATACATACTGTTGTAGATCATGCCCGAATGAACATTACGCCGGCCGCCACTGATAGCCATAAACCAATGATGACGTAGCTAAGAGCGCGCGAATGTACGATGATTCTCCGCCACTCTAGAAGCAGCGAGAATAATGCTACCGATTTCGACGGAACTTTGGCGAAATTTCTACTGCATTCGATTACGATATAAAAACGCTAGCCACGACCGTATCGACACAGTCAAGTGGACGTTACAGTGCGGTACGCCAAGTGATCTAGTAAGGCGATAGGCATTCAAATAATAGTTGAAGTTTTAGTTGAAGTGTTTGTGTATTCAAAGTGTAATAAAGTTAAGTTTGATTATTCAGTGTAGTCAATTATTAGTCAACCCACGGGGAAAAACGTAACAATACACACAGATCTATAAATTTTTTGTATTTTTGTTTGGGAGTCCTAATCAATTCTCATGTTTGGAAATATTGCAATGATATTTCAGTCGGTAAAAATATAACGGGCTTATTGATCACTCAGTTAACTTGCTATTACCTCCAATTTCTGATTTTTAAACAGTTGAAAGATTACATACCTTAGCTCATTTGCATCGAACTTTTTCCAAGTTACAGTGACCCAAGTTGCATTTATATCGATTATGGCCAGGTCAGGTTCTATCGGTATCATCGGAGGAAGGGTGGACGTTAAAATTTCATGTGGGGTCTTTATTTTGTATATCCTACTACTGTGAGTCGTATGGATATCTCTCAGTGTTATAGTAATCTTGATTTTATATTCTGTGTCGGATTCCAAGTCTTGAAGGTCAAACTCCAATGATCGAGTTGCTATTAGATCATTTGGTGGAGCAAACACCTGTAGCATCCAAGATTCCAAATCTGCATCACTGAAACATATGAAATAAGGGAAATATCAAAGCACGTTATTCTGTAATTTTAAAACTCTCACGAAACTCAGAATTCTTGTTCATAAATTATATTAGTCACCTTCACAGGGAACATTAATGTTATATACGCGTATAGACTGAAAATATATAGGAATACCTAAGTTATTGATAAGAAATTAGAATCAAACTTTTGAGGAAATACAAATCAATTCACTGAATTCATTTTATTGAAAAAGAAAAAAATCACTTTAAAGGTGCGACTTAGTTCCTTCCTGTTCACAAAAGCCTTCTCACTCACAAGCGATTTTGATGAAATTGGGAATACGTGCGATTCGTTGTATTCATGCCACGTGCCACTGTATGGGTGTCTGCAATATGCTGTGTTATGCCCGTTGTGAGTAGTCCCACTGTGATTCGAAAGTGCATATAGATTATAACGGCAAGGAGCCACATTGGCTGCTGCATAAATGCTCATATCTGATCATTCTAAAGAAAAGTCAATGGCAACATTTAATTTGTCTCTAAATCTTTCCGTTGGATTTCAGTGATTTAAATTATTTGACTTAATCCCAATAATTCATCTGACAATAAAATGATGGTAGGATATCATCATGAAAAATGAGAAATAAAACTTCCCATAATTATTTTGCTAACCATCTAGATAAGAAAGTTGAAATAATTATACAGATAGGACATTATAATGTTTTTTTAAGGACACAACACAAGCACTACAGAAAAGCCCCAAGAGCAGTGTCTGTGCGAAAGTAGCGATTTGCGATGGATTTGAATCGCTGGAGATTGAATTAATTTGGAAAAACGTTCTCAGGAAGTTTATTCCACATAAACGCAATTCTCCAAATGACAGAGTTCTCAGTGAAGTTCGAGTTGTACTCAGGTAAACCTCAAAACGATGAGCAGCCACAATCCGTCGCGTATTTCTGATATGTACCGCTCTTGGTGGATTCAAACGTGCCAAGTCACTTGAACATTTCCCGTAAAAGTATTTATAAAAGAGAGACAAATGTCCAACCTTTCGATGGTCCAGACTATCAAGGTTGCAAGTGATATTCATGTTTCCAATCAGGCGGATGGCTTTTTCTGGATGAAATTTTGCAGCTTCAGAGAATGCTAAGGAGCGTACCTCCATACATGTGAACAATACTCTGAAGAAGATCTGATCTGAGTTTTATGAAACATCAAAAATTGCTGAGGTGTTTCATTTAAGAACAGTATTCCAAGTTTTGAGAAGCAGCCTTTGCAATTCCAGCAACATGATTGTGCCATTTTAATCCCACAACCAACTTATCGAAGCAGAAAGCGGAATTGTCTATCCAGAAATTATTATATCCAGTTCGGAGACATTTATTTTTTTGGAAAAAACCGATGCCTGGGTTTTCGTAACATTGAATTGAACCTGGTTACTTTCACCCCAATTCGAAATCACCTCTAGATCCTCATTAAGATATGCAACCTCCTGCTTTCGGTGAAGATGTGTATCCGCAGCCGATGTCCTGGAATCCAAATAGAATGACGTGACAAGTGTGCTGTCGTCAGCAAAGCAATATATTGGATTCTTGGTTTTTCCAATGAGTCGTTGATTTACAATAAAAAGAGTGTTGAAGACAATATGGTTCCCTGGGGAACACCAGCGTTTATGGTGAAAGTATTGGAGAGATATCCATCGACGGTCACTTGCAGAGAACATTCTTTCAGGAAGATGGAGTGCCATACACAGAAATGATCCGACAAAACATATCATCGAAGTTTGGCCAGCAGACCCTCGTGCCACACACGGTTTCAACGCCGCGCCGACACAATCCAGAAGTTGGTTAGAAAACAGAGTCTTATACTCACGCACATATTATTACACCCCCAGATGAAACAACCAAAAATCAAGAAAGTAACTTTGACATATTTTGGTAAAAAAAACAGAGACAATTGTGAGATTTTTCAGAAAAAACAATGTGGACGTGGCCACATGCTAGGTTATTAAATTTCCAAAGATAACGTGGACAAGATGGAGAAATCTGGAGTTTATAAGCTTAAGTGCCCGGAGTGTTTATGTTGGACAATGGCCGAAATTTTTCAACACGATATGCTGAACATATAAGGTCCTTCAGACTAGGTAAAAATTTTTCGACGTTTTCAAATCATTTCTTGGATTGCAACCACAAGTTCTCGAATCCAAACGACACGGAAATTTTGCACTATGCAAGCTAGGATTGGAAACTCAACTATTTGGAATCCTTGGAAATTCATAAGCATAAGCATTGCGGATGTAACCTGCTAAATGACCAAATCGACTTAAATTCTGCCATTCGACAAACAAAGTAACCGAAACCATGGTAGATGCGTGATATCTACGTAATCACCACGGACATTTGCATCTACTGAGTTAAATAAACAAGCCTCCTTACGCTGGCCAATCAGATTTGACTGCAATCGGCTGGCGAAGTTCAGTCAGGTATATCCCTAAAGGGTCGGAGTTGTGCATTACGTTTTAACACCTGTGGTGTATACATATACGGTATTTTAAAGCCGCATATTATTTTTTCAAAATAATATAATTTCGGTTGTAGCTCAGTGCGACTCTGTAAAAGCAGCATTGTCACAGGTAAACAAAATTAAGATACTCAGTTAAGTTTATTGTATTCGTTTGAAAATATCCTTATAGGACGAAACTACAGTACAGCAGTTTCATTTCTCATTTTTCAATTCCTCTGACCGTTGACTTCGGTCACAAAACAATATTCAATCTATTGAAAGAGTTGCTTTATTTTTATGAAATAATTGTTTGTATTATTTTTTCATAAACTACATCTTACGATCTGATCTTCACAAAGCAACTATGTATCTTCATCAAGTAACGGCAGAATCATTCAGAAAAAAAATTGTATTATTTCTTTACCACCTTGGAATTTATGAAAATTTTCCACTGAAAATATATAGACCTAATATGAAATTGGAGCAGAAAAATGTTTAATTCTAGGTTGAGTAGTTTGAATGATCATACGTTATCACAGGGTGTATTACTTTGGAATTGCAAAACAATTTAGTGTTTCAATTGAATTGAATTCCAATTTGATCATACTTAGTACTTACTAAGGTAAAATGTAGAACGGTCTAAACTAACATATTTTTGGTCCTATCTAACCTAATTTGAAACTCACTCTTTATCATTGGTGTATCGCACTTCAACTCTTCCATGTAAATTCACTATTACTGGTGGAACCATAAACGCCAATCGAACTGTGTGAGGATCAATTGCTTCTAATGTATGAACGGGAACGTCATCTTGTGGTGGCGGGAAAGGACCAGGGAACAATGGACCATCGAAACCTTGAAAAATGAACCTGATGAATATTGATAAGGAAGGTTGCTCCTGATTTGATTAGATTTAAAAAGAGGAGACTTTGGTTGTTGTTTGGTCAGTATAAAGCTGAATTTCTGAAAGTACTATTGTTTCATATTTTCAAATTCTTGTGGACTTCATCGTTGTCTCATTAATCACTAATTCATATCTGAAGTATGGTTTTTCAAATCATCTATTGTTATTCTACATCGAATGTTTATTTCCGAACTAGACTAGAAAATTAATATTTCGAGATATTCATCTTTCCCAACTACCTATACCGTAAGTTCTGGTGAATATCTGCCGGAAAACACTTCCCTGGCTAATACCACGCTGGATATTGCATATTTAGAAATTTTATTTCGAATTATTTATTCTCTAGTACGTATGTATCTCTCCTCGATGCAGTCTTTAGACACGGTGTGAGCTCTGTTAGAGTATTGGTACATGGGATATTTCTTCCACCCTTCGAGCTTGGTTCACGAGATGGAGCTGTTACTAGTTGACAATCTTTCTCTTAGAGATACATACATGCAGTTGAGCCGCGTTGAAATTAATCGAGTTTCAGGCACTTTGGGTCGGATTTTTCCTGCACTGATGAGAAGTAATACTTCGAAACAGGTCTGTACGTGATGCACTCGAATACTTTCAGCATGGTCCTGCTGCTGGACGAATGAGAAATATCTGCGAGACAAACCTCTGTGAGATATCTTGCATAAATATCTGTCAGAAATAGTTCAATATTCAGCGTGGTATTAGCCAGGAAAGTAGTCATTTACCAGAACCTACGGCGTAGATATTTGGGAAAGATATTTCGTGATTTTATTTCGAAATATTTATTTTCTAATACGTATATATCTCTCCTCTACACAGTTTTCAGATACGCTTTGATTTCTGAACTAGAGTTGGTATAGAGCCATGAATAAATAGCAACCGGACCGATATAAAAACTGTTTAGTTCTGATATCTCTGATGAATAGTGATTTTAGTACTGAAACTGGGACATATGATGTGTGGATATGGTTGGATTTTGTTAATAGTGGATAAAACGATTGTGTATATATTATTAGCTTCCAAGAAAGGATATCTTTACGTTTTCAATGTCATTCACAAATAGGTATATCTCGCACGTTTGATCTAAGGTGTTGTCAATCTTTGGTTTATTTTTTTAAAATTACTGAGTTTATTTATACTAACAAATGGATTTGGAAGTTGATTTTTTTGGACACAAAATATTTCAAAACTATATGTGAGGCCACATTTTGCGTTATAACATTTTGTGAACATTTTAGGAGTATATCTAAAACAGAAATTATTAAAAAGAACGAATTTATAGTTCCACTACTATTTTCAATTCCTAAAAAATTTACAAATTGAATTTATCAAAAGCATGTATATACTTCAGTGTTCAGTGTAAGGAGTCTTTAAATTTGTTCTTGTGAACATACTCTGGGTATGTTTCTGATTTGACATCTTAAAAAACAACTTAAAAAATACAAAAGAGGAATGTTATATAAAATTAGTTGCCACAAAATCAATCATTATTTCCAATAGGATACTACAATTTTTGGGAGATATTATTTTCGGTTATATACGCCTGTCTATAATATGTTTTTTCCGTTAACCAGATATCGCACCTCTACGAACGACAAGCCTCAGAATTCGAAACTTGTGCGAGGACTATCGAGGTCTCACCTTTCAACGTGTGATTACTTACACGGGTTGGACAATAGTAAGTGAAAATCATTCGTTCAGCCAGGCTTGAACCACTGGCCAACACGGCGGTCGATTTGAATGAGTGAACAAAGCACCCACGTCGAACCGCCCGGCTACCGACTGATTCAATAATTATTCCAAAAAGTTCATCAGTGGCGTACAATGAGGATCTTCCTATCTAATTTTCAGGTAATTTTGGAGAGTAATGGAAGTTAATGAGTTAATGACATTTTCCCTTTTTTCCTGGTAGCTGTGTAGTTAGTTCGACATAATGAAACACAAATTATTTTGTGAATTTGACTCCTATAGGAGAGCAACAACCTCCCCTGCCCTCTCGGTAGGGCATTTTTATGAATTATATTTTTTGTTCCTTTCTCTAGAAGTTTTCTATTATCTATATAATATTATGGTAAAATTGGGAATAAAAATGTTTTTCTAATTTTCCTAGAATTTTACTACTTTCTGATATTAATACTGATTTACAAAGCCTGAGCTATCAAGTTTATAAAGTCGGAACATTCAAATTTGTAACTATTATACCAGAAATGATATGATTTTAGAATGCAAAATAATTCTATTGCATTGAATAATAGTAAAAAATAATGATAACCTCAGATTTCCAAAAATGGTTGTGGAGAAAAAATCAAATATAAAATGAAATGAAAGTTTTCGTTAATGAACACATGTTTTGAATCTCCTAAAACTAGATTTTTTTAAATTAATGTCTCTTATTCAATATATTTGTTTATGTCGTTATAAAACCACAAAACCATATATTTTCAAAAGTATATTTTAAGGACGGTTCTATTTTATGCGAATATACAGGGTGCTCCAAATTAAGTTGGCACCATTACCAACTCCGTTATTATTGATGCTACGAATTCAGTTAAACGGGCAAACTAGTAGCATTTTTAATGGCCTTCTTGATGTCGAAAACAAAAAGAAAATTGACCTTCGCGTTTTCAAAATATTTCATAAAATGATATTTTTTTTAAATGGAACACCCTGTATTTTGTCATGCATTTCGATTTGCAATAACATTATATACAACAAAGCTCATATCACCTTCCTTCCTTAAGTTGAAAATGAGCGACTTATGTGGAAATATTTATTTCTTTCAACAGTACAATTTTCTTTATTTTGGCAAAAATATATATTTGGGCCATTCGCTTGATACTACTTTTTGCTTTCAACACAGTTCGGCCATCAATTCTATTAATTATTGTTTCAATATAATTTTTATGTTCATCTACATTATAATGTTTTATTTTGTACACCTTATTTTTTCAGAAATTCCCATAAATAACAATCTAGAGATGTAATGTCTGGTGAACGAGGAGGCCACTTAACAGGACCATTTGTAGCAATCCATCTGTTTCCATCTGGTGCTCCATCCTGCTTAAAATAGATTATCTGATTAGCCTCCAGATCAAAATCATCGAAAAACTCTTCCGACAGTCTTTTTAATAAAATAATGTAAAGGGGTCCGTTCGAAGGACCATGGTAGAAAAATGTACCAATAATTCTGCCACTAAATAGACCACATTAATACTAAATCGTTTCTGAGGATTGTGGGAATGGACTAGAATTGGATTATGTCTACTACATTAATGAACATTTTTTCTAATATAGATCCCACGATTTGAAAAATTAGCCTCATCGCTCCAAGTTATGTTTGGATCTGATCTGCATTTATTCATAAACTACAGACAAAACCCCAATCGTCTCTCAGGATCACCAGGTTCTAGTGTTTGCACTGGTCTCAACTTATGAGGAGAAATATTATGTTTCTTCAGAATTCGTTGAATAATAGACAGTGGAACAGCTATTTCTCTAGATGAATATCTGATGGAATTATTTGAATTTACGTCAAAGTAGGCTAAAACGTCAATTTCTGTATCTTCAGATATTACGAAACGTCCATTAGTTGTCCTCTCCTCAAAAACTTTTTCGACAATGAAGCACACCAAAAAAACGCCGATTAGGTAATTCGCGATCGGGGAACGAATTGCTTTAGTGTTGAAGTGCTCTTACGATATGTTTCTGACACATTTTTTCTTGATGGGAAAATATTCGAACAGTAGTTGACAGTTACAATAATTTATGACATTGTCATGATATACTTCAGAATATTTGACAAATAGTATTTCAACAAACTTTCAAGGCATCTTGACTTCTGTTTTATCGAATCACACATTTTTTTTAACCGCATTGATATGACGCTTCAGTATTTTCTGTTCGGTACAAAAACGGCTTCAATGTTATCATTTCAGCTGACATATTTTGATTCACAAAATGAATACGGTTAGTGGAATAGCTTTAAGATGGAAATTATCGTTTTGTAAGGTTCAAATCCCAGCACAATTTTTTCTTTTTGCTGTTGCTAAGTTTGTTCTGGTTTATTGGGGATAAGTTTGGATTGATGAATCCTCTGTTCTGGTTTCGACTGCGAAATGATCCTTAACTGTCTTGAACCGTCACGAATCGTTCTTACTCTCGAGGCTGAACTGTTGAGAACTGTTCCCGTTGCTCATGCGCATTCATGTATTTGTTTATGCTATTTTCTAGGATGTTTTTTTTATTTATTTTATTCAAATAAATAATTGATGATTGAGGTTAGATAACATTTGAACTGACTACAAGGATAGGCTACATAAAAAAATAGACATGATCAACAGTAATTTCTCGTCTTCATCTCTTCATACAGTGTCATCCCCAAAGTATGCACCATATGGGAAACTTATTTATTAAGGGTTTTTCGACAAAATATTATTCTCGATAAAAGTTTGTGCATTCCCTGAAACTAAACACGCACCAACAAAATGCAGTAAAACACAGGTAATATACGAGGAGCCTTCAAATATTTGATTTTGAGACAGGAGTAAAGTACTCTTATTTTGAAAAATTTTGGGAAATGTTGTTTAGAAAAGTTGTTCCTCATTAAAAAATACATCTAGATTTGAAGTCATGCCCATCCAAGCGAAGTTTTATTTTTTTACCCATTTTTTTTTAATGGGAACTACGAAAAAAAAATTGCTAAAAGGATAAATAGACAGCATCCTGTATACGACGGTTTATTTTGAAAGCCTATAATATTACGAATTACACAACTATGGTGTTAACCACGGTCAATTTTTTTGAAGAGTAAAAAAATTTTCAAAAGTTTTGGTGCAGTTATTTTTATTTTTGAGTAATTTTTGAAAATGACTCCAAATTATACTGTATTGTAACAAGAACTTCATATTCAATAATATCAAATCATAAAACATCAAAATAAAATAGGTATTTCGGAACAAACTCATTGTTTTTCTGAAGATTTTCTTGTCCAAAATAATTCTCCAAAATAATCTCCAGTTTATTCCAAAATACTCATTTTATTTTGATGTTTAGTGATCTGATATTATTGAATATTGAGTTCTTATTACAATACTGTATAATTTTGAGAAACTTTCGGTGTTAACAAAAAATAAAATAACTTTGCACCAAAAGCTTTGAAAATTATTTTACTCTTCAAAAAAATTGACCGTGGTTAACACCATAGTTGTGTAATTTGTAGTATTGTAATATTAACCGTCGTATACAGGATGCAGTCTATTTATCGTTTTAGCAACAATTTTTTAGTCCCCATTAAAAAAAAAATTGATAAAAAAATAAAACTTCACTTAGATGGCCAAAATTTTTTAAAATAAGAGTACTTTACTCCTGTCTCAAAATCAAGTATTTGAAGGATCCTCGTATATTATGTGTGATTTACTGTATTTTGTTGGTGCATGTTTAGTTTTAGGGAATGCACAAACTTTTATCAAGAATAACTTTTTGTCGAGAAACCCTCAATAAATAAGTTTCCCATATGGTGCATACTTTGGGGATGACACTGTATATACGATAGGTGGCACAGTGGTCTCCTCAAATGCGTTCTGGTTCAACCAAGTGCCCGAGACTATTTCGGACTGTTTGAGATTTTTTGCTTGTACGCATCATGTCTTGCGAAGTTTCCAAACAGTATCGGATGTTAGAACCAGAACAAACCTAGTAACAAAATATTTTGGTACTTATACGAAAGTACCAAAATTTGGTGTTTGGCCGATCATGAGGTTTTATTCGCCAAAATAAAGAAATTTTTGTTCTAGTGAAATAAATAAATATTTCCACATAAGTCGTATTTTTTTAACTTCAGGAAAAAAGGTGATATGAGCTTTGATGTTGAGAATGTTATTACGAATCGAAATCCATGATAAAATATAGGGTGCTCCGTTTGACAAATATCATTTTATGAAAACGCGACTATCAATTTTTCTTTGTTTTCTGCATCGAGAAGGTGAATAGATCATTGGTTAAATTTGTAATGTAGTTTAATGTTCGAGGATAATATAGGATGAATGTAACCTTCAAGCCCCTTTTATGTGAATTGAGAATCTTAGAATCGTTCCTATTTTCATTCTGCTTGTGTTGATTTATTTTCAAATCCTTTATTGATCTACATAAAAAACGTAACGTTGTAATGAACGTTTGCTACATGAATTAAAAAATTCAGTTTTATACTTTCCATTATAAAAAGATTCTAGTGTTTTCGTATCCAACTAACCTGGAAACGTTGAATTTAGTTTATTCAGAAGATTGGGTCCACTTTGGTGTCCTATGAGGAAGGGTCTATTATTATTATTCGTGATAGGATTGAATGGAGAAAAAGGATTCTGCAGATTGGCTTGCGGTCGAGAATTTTTATGAAATTCCCTCAAAATGTGTTCTAAACTAAAACCAGGAGGCAAATCATTATTGACATGCTCTCCATTTTGAGGAACTACATAAGGAACAAGATGTATTTGTTGTTTACCGGGCTTGGGCATGCTCGTAGGTGGTAAACTATGAATTTCTAGAACTGATCCAGATGGATAATCACTTATCTCTGGGTGTTGATTAATGAACTGTAGGAGATCGTCTGGATTGCCTTGGCCATGTACTTCTATTTCAGAGTGGTCAGAATTGTGATTGGGCTTGATGATTGGTGCCTCTGATTTGGACGGTGAAAATATATTGTTTTCTTCTTGAGGTGGAACTGATTCCAAAGGAGGATGAGGTGTGACAAATATCGAGCCCTTTTTAATTTTACTTTTATCCACGTTCGTAGGACCGAAAGGTCCCAAATAATTATTAATTTTTTCTTTCAAAACGTTAGGTTTAGTGTTGTATTTTACCGGTGATATTGATTTATTATTGAAAGGATTTTCCTCCGGTTCAAGTGTTGGTACATGCCCTAATTCGTTAACACTATCAGTCTGATGTGGAACTTTGTTTTCATAGACAACTAGTGGACCCAATATTTTAGATGGTGTTTTCGGGGTGAAGTATTCCTTGTAAGAAGTTTCTGTCGGAGTTTTAGTATGTCCTTTATCGTTTTCTGTTTCGTTGGGTAATGTTTCTGAAATAAACTCTTCGTCAGCATCCACTCAGAAAAATAATTTAGAAAACGTTTTACTGATCCCATCCCAGTGCCTATGTACATACCAACATATTAACATGAGTGGAAACTAAAGCGTCAGTCCATTTCCTAGTATATGAACATACATCTACTGAGTATCTACACCAGTTAAGCATTGTTGTTAGTAGAAGCAGGAAAGGATTGAATCTTAATCCATATCATTGCAAAATGAGGATATTTTTGGAATTTGGTATCAAGGTTATAATCTCAAAAAATTCACACTTTTTTTCCAGGTAATACTTAAGGGGATGAAATGCTGACATGGATCAATTCAATGAAAAGTGTGTATAACATGCCGTTGTTCTTATTCAAACATTTTATGTACAGGATCTGTTCAACACATTTCACGATCATAGTAAAGATAGTTTTACTGAAAACTCGACCTAATTCTTGACCCAGATACGATGTAATTTGTGAATCCAGAAAATAATCACTTCCTGAAGAATTTTGTTATCGTCCACTTTTGAATGTAATTAAAAAAATTATGATACTCAAATTATCTAGAACAATTCGTTCAGGCCAGCCTCAACTTACCTACACTGTAGGTTAATTGACTGACACCTATCAGAAAACAACTACCTACTCCCTCGGACTAATACCCCGAAGGGCGTTGAATTATATCTGACAGGTGTCAGCGCGGGATTCTTCACTGAAGTTATTCCTGCATATGCTGTTGGCAATACAACTGCCGAAATCGATTTTCAATTATTTCAACACATTTGCATACCGGTTTCGGGCTATTTGGCCACTTGTCAGTGCAAGGTAGTATCTATCATCAACATGAAGTCGATGGTTTCCCATAATTGAAAATTGAATTCCTTTCAGAATATCATTCCTCGAACTGAGCTGAATCGAACAACCAACACCATGCTTGGCATCGCCCCATCTGCCCGTGAACGAGGTAACCAACCGCGTATCCGTAATTTTATTTACAGCCAGTCTTCGAGTATGCCTACTCACTTTATGTGAAATGATGATACTGTCTACGTTTACCACTGTTGTGATTGTATTTGTAGATATTATCAATTCAAAGTTATTCTAAACAAACTGAATATTGCTTATTGCGAGGACATAGAAAACTTTAATTTTATGTCGACTTTTTTCTTGATTTTTTTTCTTCAGATTTAGGGTATGTTATACTTCGTGAAAAAGTCGAAATTTCGAGAAAAAAGCTATGATCTCATAAAACACCTTGTAAAAAACGATATCTCGGGGAAAGTATCGAAATCTCAAGAATTCAATAACAAAAAATAGAAAATGACCTTTCTACGCGTGTTCCACACATATTAACCATTTCCTGATTGTTTATTTTCTTTTACAAGATCTGATATTTTTAAATCAGTAATGTACTATTTTAGCTTGATTCTGAGGAATGAGGAATCATTATTCATTCAAATAATATTTCAGACTCACTCAACAGTTTCTGAACCACACAAATTCTTGAGTATATAACACAATTCAACAATCAGGAATTGAAATACTCAAACAGTATTTGTGGAAATTACTTATTGAAATAATGTGTTGACAAAAAAGTCAACACAAATGAGTTCTAAATTTGAATATCGGTTTATGTAACATTGTTTGTCCTATTATTTTTTTAATTGTTTTATGGAACTTCATCAAGCTCAAATATAATGAAATAATACTTTCAGAAAAGCCATACTGTATTTTTGCAATTTGACTAGAATGAATATTTTTTAAACAAAATATTATCAAGAGAAAGGATAAAAAAAATTTGAAAATATATCTGTTCTGGACACGAATTCGGAAATGCCCACAATAATATCACAAAAAAACAGTAGGTATTAGTTTCATACATGGATTGATCATATATAATATAGTATTTCCAATACCAATTGGAACAGTATAGAGAAGGAATTCCCGCCTCGACATAGGCGTCGGCATATTATTTTTTAGTGGTAGTTTTTCAGTTACTTATTCTTACAATCATAGCAATTGATCACCCCACGAAAAAGTTATCTCAACTGAATTTTTCTACCATGGGTAATTATGAAAAACCGAAATTTAAGGTAGTTGATTTTCGAGTCGAAAACTCTAAAATACAATGAAAACACAAATAATCACACCGAATTCTCGTCTAACATATACTTACAAAATAATAGAGGCCAACAAAATTGCTAGAAAAATCAAAATTCTTTTTCGCTATATTCGGATGAGGTGGAATCATCATCGGGTTGAATAACGATCGGATTTATGGAACTTTGCACAGAATATATGTTCTCTTCTTTTATAACGTGGGCCACACAGTTCTTCCACACATCACTATTACCTACTTCATTCACCACTCGCCTTATATTGTCAAGCACTACAGCATTCAAAGTCGGCGACTGATTACATTTCCGCAAGCTTTCTTTCATTGTGGCCCAAACCATTTCAATTGGATTGAACACAAAATAGTATGGAGGCAAACGTAAGAGAATATGACGACGTGTTTCACACATCGAATCAATAATATATTTTTTTTTGAAATTATGTTGTTTTATGGTCGCCAGTGATACCTTTTTCGTTGGGATCTTCTCGGGTATTTTCATGTCATGATTTCGCACGAAATCAACAATATCTGCTTTTTTTTGTGTTATTGTTTGGTATTGTAGTCAATAAACGAGAATGATACGAAGCGTTATCCATAACAATAACCGAGTTTGGAGGAATATTTGGAAGAAGCTGCTCACTGAACCAGGTTTCGAATAAAGCCGCAGTCATATCTTCGTGGTAATCAGCAGACGAATCTTTTATATTTTTGGCCGACAGAAGCAAAGCGTTAGATACGAAACCACTTCGGACCAAAAACCTTCAGGTATATAAACAGCCAACCCTTGTCTTTAGATTCAGTATCAAATTTGCTTCTCCTGAAGATGCTAATCCTGTTAGCGAAACGCGCGACGAGTGCAAAAATATCAGTTTGATGTTAGGGTAATTGATCTCTAGAAAAAGTTTTCAGAAATCGGTTTGCAAAACCACTCACTACCTCACCTAACCCCACGAACACACGGCACTGATAAAGAAATATTGTGAAACGGACAAAAAATTAGTATTCAGCCAATCCAACTAGCCGAGCCTTTACCCCTCAACTACATTTGATAGCACGTTTACTAACTATCTGGGCGACTAGGGGCCACAAGCATAAAATGTTTATGACTGTACTCTTATTTTTATTGCCGTTCCAATTGGGAATGGATAGACTCTACTTGTTGTGTTAAAAACTTCTGATGAAGAATAATAATAAATGAATTAATATATGACACGAGCAAGGATTATGGAAAATCAGTAATATTATTACTTGAGTGGGAACACACCTAAAAATTTCAATATTATCAACTAGATGGAATGGTATATTGTCACAACCAAGGTGTAACATTTTGATTGTATGTTTCTGAATATGTGAACGTATTCACAGTATTTTTTTCTAAAAAGTTTTCTGTACATTAACTTGTGAAAATAATTTGTGTTTTCGAAATAGTTTCCAATGGGACCTGGATATTTCATCGTCAGAAGTTTCAGATAAGTTGGATACTTTTATTTGTTATTGTTATTCGTAAAATTCAAATCCAAGTCTGTTTCAAAATCCGTCACCTGGAGAAATGTACAAAGGAAATACAAGACCTAATCTTACTGAATAAATTGCTAGCATACCTGCATCATCTGGGTTGCATACCCAGTACTTGCAACAATCATCTTCAGGAATATGACCTATTTTGGCGAGATTCTGGGGACACTGTAAATTTGGTGGCGGAAGAGCTGTTACTGGAGGACATGTGTTTTGGCATTCGACATGGCCCATCTCACAGTAGCATCGTTTTTCGCAGCCAGTTATGTTGATAGGCACTTGTTCCCAGTTTTTGTATGTCGCTCCCTTATAGTTGCAAGACCCATTATTTTTGCATCTTATTCTTTCGGGGCAGCATTTTGGTGGGGTCGGAGTGAAGTCTGGTGGTATGGTTTCCCATTCCACACAATTAGGATCTAATACGTCAACTCCGAAGTAAGTTGGACACTGAATTTTCAAACATTTCATTCCTCCTTCTTGGCATACACACAGAGCCGTGCACTCATCATTGAATTCATCGCCAAGTTTGAATAGTTGACCCTTGTACTGGCAACCTTTCGAATCATTCTTCGTTTTATCCCCAGGTTTTGGATCAGTAACAAAATTCTGGATATTAATAATGTCATCTGTGTTTTCCAGCCTCAAATATTTTGCGTCTCGTTTAGCGAGCACATAACCTCCTTGTACTATTTTGAATTTTCGCCATGTAGTTTTGTCGTCACTTATTTCGACTACCAAACCAGCGTCGTCGTCAGAACTTGAATCGAATTTCATTAAGATCGTAGTTTCGTTGACGAATTTGGCAGATAATATCTTTCGTTTATGACTTTCATCATACTTTTCTGGATCATTGTCGTCGAGGGTAACATCGCATAGTATTTTTTTGCAACACGAATCATTAGGGTCAGGCACTTCAACACATCTGTCGTTCGTTTTGTTTGAGGGTGGGCATCTGAAATAAATTATTAATTACAAGTTTAAAAATGTGTTTCGACCTCAAATTAATATGTGTTCGATTGAAAATTGTCAAATGTCAAAGAAAATGGCATTTTTTTTGAGGTCCGCAATTAGTCCAGACTGTAGACTCTAGACCAGAGGTATCAAATTCAATTTTGCAGAGAGCCATGTATCAAATTTAGAATGTGTAGATGGGCCAGATTCATATGAAAAAAATGTACCTACTGATAAAACTGCTTGAACTGTCGGTGCACCTTGATAAATTTACAATTTTAATTATATTCTGCACATGGTCCATTTTTAAATGTTTGGATGCCACCATTCCTGAAAAATTATACAGGGAAATCCCACAAAATTCCTTGACGTTTTATGTTTTATTTTGATTACAGTGCCTGAATGTTTGCCAGCCATGGCAGGAGCGCCATCTGTAGTTGTGCTACTAAGTTTATTAAAGTCGAGTTCATATTCTGCTATCGAATGCTCCATTTCAGAATAAATATCTATTGTAGTACCTGTCAATGGAACGCACTTTGCTAGTTCTTCAGTTGTTTCAAAGTTACTGTTGATACCTCGTATAAAAACAGCAAGTTGATCTGTATCAACGGTATCAGTACTCTCGTCAACAGTCAGTGAAAAGTTTGTAAATTTCTTGATTTTCTTCTTCAATTGAAGAACCAAATTTTGAGATAAATTATTTATTCTTGAAGCAACAGTGTTTCTTGACAGCGAAATATTTTGAATTATTGACTTTTGAAATGGAAATAAAACATCGTCAACTTTCAGCAGACGTTTTTAATAAATTCACCATCAGTGGAAGGTTTTGACCCAATTCTAATCCAAAAATAAAACTTGATTTCAGGCCATCTTCCCTATCATTATTGTCTTTAGTAAACTTCGATTGTTAACCTTGAAGTTCAGATTTAGGTAAAAGATGATAAGGAAACAGCTGCATATTTTAACATATATTTTCATGAAATAATTGACAGTATTCCCAAATCAGAGTTCACTATTAATCTAGAAGAGCCCAGTAACATTTTTAGTAGTTTCGAATTAATGAATAAGAAGGGTTTTCGAATTGATACTATTATAATAAAATTTTATGAATGCATCATAAAAGCTGGTATATTTTCAAAAGCATCAAAAACAACCACAATAACGCCAATAGAAAAAGTCATAAATATAATTGAATGCTCTGAATTCAGAACTATCAATATTCTACCTAGAGCTGAAAAATTCTCGGAGTTGGAGCGAGGAGCTAACTATTGAGTTGGCTCAGAAACTATTTATTAGATATGTAACAAGTTACAAAGAATAGACAATGAATATTAATTAAAATTGAACGTGAGTTGTGAAATACCACAGGGATCCATTCTGGGACCGTTGTTGTTTCTAGTTTATTCAATTGATATACAACACCGTCATTATTCTAATTATTTCCATTTATTCGCTGATGATACGCTTGTGAGTATAAGTGATAAGAATCTGAAAATCGCTGTTGAAAAAATGAATGATACACTTGTAAAAATATCTCAGTATTTAGTAACGAACAAACTGAAACTTGAATATCCAAATCTCTAGCAAATGTTAGCAGTTGTTGAAAACTTGCGTTTCTAACAACTGGCTGAGGCTGGTTCCCTCATAGCTCATCACGACTCTGATGAATGAGGATTTGTGGAGTAATTCACTTCATTTCAATAGTTATTTTATGTATATAAAAAATGAAACCCTGAAAAAATCCATTTCTTCTCAAGAGTTTCTCAGCATCTCAGCAATAATAGTCTATAGAACCATTCTACAACCAAATTCTGAATGTTGTCCAACTTTGCTGTATTTGTTTGATTTGAATAAAATCGCCACACTATAAAAATTACAAAACCATGCTATGAGAATTATGTTGAGTTGTCCTGAAAAGCTCACAAACTGACTGAGCATAATTTCTTTTGCCGAAGCTACCGGCAAGATTATTTTGAGATGATATGTGTGTCTGTAATTTTTTTTAACGATCCTAGATATTCAGTAGAAAAGATATGAATTGTATCGCATTTACTCCTTTTTTCATGCATATAATTTTATTATTTATAATACCGTGCAAGCTTTTTGATTTTTTTTTTCATTAATAAAGCACAAAATTTAATGAAATACAGAATCTTTGTATGAGTTTTTTCTGCATTATTAATGAAGATGTTTTTATACTGGAACCGTAAGAATTCGTTCGTAAGCATAATACATTTTTATACCCAAAATAATTTTTTTCGATTTGTAAATTTCATTATGTGCTTTGGCCAAGGTTTGGTACGATATTTCATTGCAACCTTCACTACCAAGTGCCCCTCAAAGTCAAATAGAGGAGTCACCCTTGCATAATGTTGAATAATCTAAAAGTATACGCACGCGAATATAAGTGAATAATTCAGTATGGTGCTGATAACGAGTGTTTTTGCCCGAATTTGTGCTGTTTGTGTGACTTGAATTGAAACACTCTTTCTATGTCAAAACTATTTTCCGGGTTTGCTGACAGTAGTCTGTATGTTATCACGCCTGACGCTTCGTCTTCTACTGAGATTTACCTTTAAAAATACGATGAGCCAATGGACGAAGTGTTCTGGTTGTTCTCAAAGCAGATACTACAGAATCAATCAATTCAAAAACGTTTATTGGTTGGTTTTAACAGAGGCTTGGAATTGAGTGGTTTTGTTTGTGGAGCTCCAAATTCATTCATGTGGTGGTGGAAGTGGCTTCGTTCCTATTGGTTGAATTAAATTACCTGATGCGAGATCAATTGAATGCTCCAAGAGAGAGACAAACATAGAAGGCCAACCAAGCAGAACCAACGTCCACCTCCAAGAGTCGCTGTCAGGCGGCTCCGGTAAGTATTTTTTTTAGCAGATAACAAACACTTTCTTTTCAGGTTCAATGAGGAACACTCGACCGCGATCTCTCTAAACAATAGTCTCCGGTTAGTTTTTGGGGACCCCACGCAAAAATTCAGTTAGGAAAGCCAAGATAAAGCAAAACATTAGATTAGAAAGTAAAAGCACCTAAAGGCTGACTTTCGACCGAAGGAGGTCAGATGACAATCTTGCTGAAGTGCCTATCAGCAAGTTGAGGACCTCTCCGGAGAAGCGGGGGTGGATGGATGCGATAGGATGTTCTGCACACAGTAACCCTGTGGGGAGGATTTTAACTCAGGGCACTCAACCCGGGAGGGGGAATGGGGTACAATTGAATACGGGTGACCAGATTTCATTAATGAAGATTTCTTCTTCTTCTCGGTTGAAATTATTCTGTGCTTCTCCCAAGGGTGGAAACTATGCCATGACTTCAACCAAGATACCTTACCAGGACATTATCGCGAGTGTTCTGAATCAGGAATTCGTTTTTTGCTGAACGGCATTGCTGAGGAAATCCGTATTGATACGTCGAGGATCTTGACTCGCGCGAAACCACCCAAGGCCAATACAACACGGAGAGGAAGCAAGGCGGTGAAGAATCTGAATAACGACAAGGAAACGTAACTGTTGTGAGGAACACCGGGAATACAAGAAGAAAATTAATTCCTTATTTGATCCAGGGACATATAGGAAAATCAATCGGTATTTTGAGAAGAACGATTCATCTGGCCTGTTCATTAGGTTTCAAATTCGAAAATGATGCTTCAAAAATCCGATGCCCTTTCGCCACGTCTATATGGCCTCCCAAATTCGACATATTTTCAGTAAAATGGTGTTTTCCATGAACAAATGAATGGCCTTGCAATGACCAGTAGGCTGGTAAAATTGCGTTGATGACACGTTCGTGGTTTGGCAAAGAACTATCGCTTTCTTGGATTTAACAGACGCAAAATCTTTAAAAAAAATCAGGTAAAATCTGTTTTCCGTTAACCAGGTGTTGCCCCACGAACGACAACCCTCAGAAGTTGAAACTTGTGTGAACTAAGGACCGATTCCTAACATTCGGTCATAGAATGTACAGAAGAATGTATCTGAATGAGAATTCCAACCACCAGCCACGACAGAAGAATGGGATAATCAAAACATTAGTTGAGAAAGTCCGACGCATTATGTGATCCTCGAGGAACTCAGTCACTTGAAAAACTCTTCCAAAGGAAGTGGGTATGACTAGCTGATTTCGAGCGGGTAATGCGACCCAGAAAATCGAATGCTAAGGCTACTGCAAATACCGTCAGTGGAAAAGTTTTCCTACCATATGTGAAAAATGTTACCGACTGGATCGTGAGAGTTCTAGAAAAACAAACTTGAAAGCGAATTGAGTCCAACTAAAAGCACCAGAGAGAGTCTAAGGTCAGCTAAGGGCCTTGGAGGTCCTTTAGCAACATCGACGGTCAACTGTATCCCGTGTAGCTGTGGATAGGTCTGAACTTTATTCACGAAAAGAAGTATAATTAACCGACTTTTGCCTAGGATAAACTGATAAATCAGCTATTGCGACACAAGAACTTAGAGAAGGTGTTCACGTCATCGTGTTTGAAGAGACCAAAGTCCTCGATAGAACTTAGTTACTCTCCAAGACTTTATAAGGAGGCGATAAAAATTCAGAAGCAGAAAAATAGTTTGAACCGAACGGAAGAGGAAATCAACATTGTTGAAACCTGACTACTTGTAATGAATTGCACTCTTATATCATTCAATCCAACCAATACTATAGTATCTGCTTTATGGACAACCATAGCACTTCGTCTGTTGTCTGATCGCCTTTGATAATGTATACCGCAGAAGTAGACGTAGAAGTAGTATGTCAGGCATAAAAACTTGCAGACCATACCCAACAAACCTCGAAAATAGCTTTGACACAGTTATCTTCAGCCGTGGAAGTTTACACTCTTTGAAATAATCTTTCCCTTTTGACATTTTAGTTAGTACCATTTTTCCAAAAAACTTATCATAAAAATCCCCTTTTTGTATGAGTTTAACCGTACAACAATTCTTGAAGCCAACATTATTGAAATGTGGGAATCACTCCTAACTTCCGATTTGAAATCCACCAGGTAGGTAGGTAGGTATAAAGTCATGCATTGAATATGTGATGTATGAACATGGATATTTTACTTAATGAATGTAAAAGACAAATATCCTTACTTTTTGCATATCCTGGAATTTCAAAACACAGCCACTGAAATTGTCCATGATAACAATTACAACAATAAAAACAGAAAATAATGAACATAAAAATGGATGAAGTTAAACCAGAATTGAGAAAAGAATTGAAAAATTTCCAAATGAAATAGCCGTTTCTATCGAGCATGTGTGGGACATGCTTCAACGAAGAATTACTCCGCATATGGGGAACATTCACACAACGTTTCAATTGAGAGAGCTTTTAATCGCTGAATGGGCAAATGTACCTCAACAAGACATTGACAATCTCATTTTGTCGATTAAACGATAGATGTAGGGCCGTAATAAACCAGCGTGGAGGCCATACTTTGTACTGATTCTAATTTTTTTTGTATTATGATTTTTTTTCGGGGTGCCAGAGAAGAGCCATATTTTTTTTTTAGTTTTGCTTATATGCGCACTCAGTATTTTTGACCATTTAATAAATTTTGTTGTAAGTTACATTCGTTTAAAAATCACTCGTCAACTTTTTTTTCCCTAAAGCGATCTAAAAAAAAATTATTGCCATTTAAAGCCCGAAAGACATTTAAAAAATCGACCTCCAAGTATATGCTGATTTATGTGTTCATTGTGTTCATATGTGGAAATTATGAAAATTTTACTACTAGATAGTTGTATTTTATAGATTTTAAGGTACTATCCTAATATTTATCCAGCCACTATTCGTTCTATGAATTATCTTCAAAATTATAGTTGCCTGATTGCAGAGAACACTGCTTAGAAAGATAAAAAGTGATTTCTCATTCAGCGGTCAAAATTTGAAATCTGTAAAATTTGAAATGAATTGATAACATTGTGGAAATACATACAATTTCATTAACTCAAAGTGTGTTTTATAATTCGTCCATGAAATCATCAGAGCGATATTCATGTCTTGTTCATGTTCAAAATGTGTTTTTCCGTTAACCGGCTATCGAACCCCTATGAATGCCAACCCTCAGAATTCGAAACTTGTGGAAGCTGAAGGCTAATGAGGTCTTACCTTTTAACGTGTGATTATTGACACGAGTTGGACGATGGCAAGTGAAAATCGATCATTCAGCCTACGGCTAGAACCATCGACTGACACATCAGCTGATTGGCTGAGAGAACAAAGCACCCACATCGAACCGCCCGGCTACCGACCGACTATCTTCACATAAAATAACTTTTCATGTATTTGAGAAAATATTTCAAACAAAATTAATACAGTATCATTATTTTTTTTCAGATGACTTGAGTCATCGGAGATTAACTCAGGATGTATAAACCTCTGAAGAAGCTAGCGACTCGCGCCAGCGAAACGTCATGAAGAAATTTCAAAAATCGACGGCCTTCAAACCCGAAAAATAGACACTGAAAGCCTCGGCCGCGAAAGCCTTAACCATTTTGTCAAAATTAATACATATTTATGCTTTACTCACCTTGATTTGCAGGAAACTTTTCCGGCGATCTCACAAGAACAAACTTCTGCACATCCCTTGTTAAATATATCTCCTCTGTTGTAGGTTTGGTTTTCGTAGGAACATATCTCTAGTGGTTCGGTCTCTAGAAAAAATATCTGAATATGTTAGTAGATGTTTCAATTCGAAGGAATAATTGGCAAGGGTAGTCCCTTAAAAAGGCCCACTATATTATGGTCCCACCACTAGATTATGGCACCTCTAGAAGTTTTTGAGAGAAAATGTGTCATACAGAACTGCGGTTCATTTGAAAACTCGTGGATACACAAAGAGAGGTACTTGCAACGAAATTGCTCCAGTAACATTCAATAATGACGCAATTAATTTGTAAACAGTATTCATAATCGCCAGAAAATCCATTTCAAACATTTCGAACATTTATTTTGATACATTGGAGTAATATAAATTTTTTATTGAAATCATAATATTTATCGGTTGTTTGCAGAATCTCAAAATGACTCTAAAACTGTTAATTGCCCATCAGATTTCCAAAAATAAAACGGGGTTGAATATCAAACGAGGATACAACACTATTTCCTTTCTTATCAAAAATCACTGAAATGATGCTTTTTTACACGTATTTTGTCAGACATTGACGTCTTGTCCCATTTAAAAGTTAACTACACACATCGGAAAAGTCTAGGGATATTTTTAAAAATGGCAATAATTTTTTTTAGATCGCTTTAGGGAAAAAAAGTTGACGGGTGATTATTAAACGAATGTAACTTACAACAAAATTTATTCTTTGTTCAACCCATAGAAATCTACAGGGTGGTCAAGTGTACCAATTTAATCGAAATTAAACGACCTCATGCATTTATTTTTATGATATTTAGTATGTTATAAAAATATCCCCCTAGACTTTTTCGATGTGTGTATTTACGCCCGTTGTGTAGTTTGACATAAATTGATTTGAAATCCCCGAAAGAATCTGTAAAAATGCACCATGAAACAATGCCAACCACCTTCAAACAAATATTTACGTCCGCACTGAATAACGTCTTTATGGAAACTTTTAAAATCTGTTCAGAATAAGACTGAACGAAAACTACCCTTTTATAACTCCAAATTTTCTTTGGATATTTCAGAAGTCTCTAGATTAGCCGTGGACGATCTTTGGTAAGGAATATCATATTATTGGTTATTCAATATTATTGAACGTTTTAGGTGTTTCTCGACCTCAATGTTCACAGCTTTCCATCACATTGGAAATTATACATAGCACCCCGATGGGTGTAATGAAGTCAGGTCTTGTTGTCTTACCGGTGTTGAGGCCAAGATCTTAGTTACCTTTGCTTCGTGCTTTACATATAATGGGGATGTTGCTGTGAGGTATTTAACCAATCAAAATCACTTCGTAGATTATTTCAGATGAGACAAAAATGTATTTCCTGTAAATTCTAAAAAATCGGGCCAAACATATCCTAGTCGACAGAATAGTATTGCTAAACATCACGTGATCATAATACGTTGCTTATCTGTATTATCTTCAAACATATGTTGATTAGAAAATGATCTGGGCTTCCGAATAGATCCTGCAATTTCTACCCGTAGAGATCAGTATCAATTGTAAAGAAAAGATGTAGCAAAGACTAAAAACTAATAAAGATCGTAATTGATGGCAAAACTATTTGTTTGATGGACTTCATCGTTTAGTAACTCGTTAAAATGAGAGGTATACAAAGAAATCTGCTATGGTAATAATTTGGGCTGATGGACACCTCTCTTGAAAGATTGCGTTGAAATTAGAAAAACAAACACTCAAATAAATTTTCGTAGGATTCGTACTAAGGAATCAAACATTTAATATTCAGAGCCTTATTTTAAATAGTAAATAAGTAAAATGCAAATTAATGTCTCTCTTGACGACTTTATATGAATAATTGATTACTGTTTCTAAGCACTGGAATTTGCTGTACACAAGTGAATAAATATATTCTCGGACAGTCAAGTGACGTTGGAAGCTCTTGGCTCTAAATTGGTAGTAAATTGCCAAAAATGACTCTCCTCAATAGGAAGACTTAACAAATTGTTTCTGGTCTGGATTTCTGGCCATACTGGCCTGGAAGGCAATGAAGCTTATGACTCCCTTGCAAAGGAGGGTCTTGCAAGTTGCTTTATCGGACCAGAACCTGTCATTGGTATCACTTTAGGCTTTGCCAAACAAACATTGAACACCTGTATGGCAAGAAGCTGTATGGACTTCTGGCAAAATCTTCCAGGATTAGTTCACTCCAAGGCGTTCATTCGCCCTTCGAAACTTGATACCAAACAGTTGTTGGACTAGAGTAGGGATGAACCTCGATGTCTAACATGCCTTCTCACAGATCACATTTTGAATCATCATATGCAGAGGCTCAGACTGTCGGAAGACAGTGTGTGTCACCTATGTTTTGAAAATGATGAAACAGCAGAGCACATACGTTGTGCTGGGGACCGAATCAAGTTTTCAGAGCCGCACTCTTACTACTTTTACCATCTGACCTGAAAGATCATTCACCATATAAACTAATCGGCTTCGTTAAAAAGCTGGCTTTATTTGGTCGAATGTGAATAGGTGTGAGCCACAATACACCGTTGCGGGTTGCGATGGAGGGTCCAATAGTCCCACTGACCTAACCTAGTCTAACCTAGTGAAATGAAAATTGGTATCTCTATTGAAAACTCATTATAAATGATTGATTACTGTTTGTGAACACTTGAATTTGTTTGAAGGTGACTCACAATATTTCATGATGAACTAATGAAATACAACTTGAATTTGCTTTATTTTCTAACCAAAATATCTTATATAATATAACTTTTTTTTAAATACCTGTGTCTCCCGCACAGACTAAAACTGAACAGCAAGGGTCTTCCGTGGCTTTCGCTGAACAAAGGGGATCGTCAATTTTCTTTCCTTTCCTGAAGAAAGGTTTAGGGCATCTTTCGTCGCAATCCATGTTACCATTTTTACACGTACATACTGAATCACAGCCGTTTTCGAGTTTTTCTCCATTTTCGTATGTCAGGCCTCCCTTTTCACATAATCCTATAATAAGGTAAAAAAACGTTATTATTATTAGATTGTTTCAAAAGTTTCGTCTATTTTTTTGGGTCTACTAATATCTCGGTGAATACTAATCCAATTAAATCGAAATAAGCACCATTTGAATCAGTACACTTTTGAAAACGAAGCACAAGTCGAATATTTTCATTAGCATAAAAAGTGTGCTTGGGATTCGATGAAGTCGTGATTGGCGAAGGTTCTACCAGTGAGAAAGTGCTAAAAATATAATAGTCGGTTGCCGAGAGGTATAAGGAACTTGGTGGGTGAGGCAGAACATCGACGCTCACTTCGTTTAATTTTCAGACGTTGATTTGTGAAACACTTCTGTTGACCAGTGCTGGTTGTTGCTGACGCAATTTTTGGTGCATTTTGTTGATTTCCTCACAATAGGACTTTGCTGTGATGGTTTAGTCCGGTTGCAGAAAGTTATAGTGAATGACACCAGCCGCTGACCACCATACAGTAACCATAGTCTTTTTTTGGAAGGGTTTCACCTTTGAGAAGCGCATGGGTGACTCATCGGTGTCCAAACACTGTCCTGAACGTGTCCTGTTGTCGTACAGGATCCATTTCTCATCACACGTTACGATCCGATTTAAAAAAGTATCGTTTTGTTTGCGCAAAAGCAAACACGAACAGACCTTGAAACGTGAAAATTTCTGTATATCTTTCAAATCGTTGGGCACCCACTTTTTGAACTTTTTTATCTTTCCAATACGATTTGAACAATTAAAGCCACATGGGAGTTGATATCCAGTTCTTGTGCCATCATACGAACTGTTTATGATGGGTCGGTCTCCATCAGAGTTTCCAAATCCTCGCCCTAGATTACCACTGTAGGTCGACCACTTTGGAGCCCATCTTCGAGGCCAATATCTTCGGAACAAAATTTCGCAAATCATCGTCGAACAGAGCGTTCATTTGCACTATCATTGCCAAATGTAACGACACAGTATAATAAATATTCACCGAGATATGGAGCTGTTTAAAAAAATCTGTTTAAAATCTGTTTTTCCGTTAATCAGCTGTCGCTCCCATACGAACGACAACTCTCAGAAGTTGAGAAACTTGTGCGAGCTAAGGACTAACGAGGTCTTATCTTTTAACGTGTGATTCCTAACTCGGTTATAAGGAACTATAAAAATAAATGACATTAAAACGGACAAAACTTTCGAAACAATCTGAAGTGAAGAAAAAAGCTCACCAAAAATAATAATTTTATGAATCAGTAACACATTTCTGAATCAAAAATCACATTTACGAAATGAAATCGTTTGATTAGACCCCACATTACTGAAATACCCGGTTCATTTTGTTTCATAACAGAAAATTGTTTTAAAATGATTGTTTATTTTTCTCTTCTATTTAACTCATTTATGCCATGATTATCTATCATTATATGAGCACACAATTCAAATATAATTGTTTGAAGTACCTCTGTGTTTCTTGTAGGAATGATTATTCTTGGAACGTTAGTAATAGCTCATGGCAAAATGATAGTTCAGTTTGTTCAGTATGTGTCAGGTCATTATCAAGAGTGATGTTCATATACTCTACTTGGTACACGTCTGTTGATCTGCCCTACACATGTTCTATATCAATCAGAACATGGAATTTCGTATATAACCTGGGATTTTCTGCTCTTTGAAGGCTTCAGGAAATATTCTCTCTAGGAAATTTAAGAAAATTGCATTGCGTTGATCAAATTTTTTGTCAAATATTTTGATTGGTTTATTTTCTCAGTGATATTCTATATTACGGTAATGTTATGTTAAATTTTCATGATCCAAATTTCGAGAAAACATACATGCCATTTAACAGCTTTTGATAACTTCAGGAACATTGTTTGCGACTTTCAAAATTATTAACTGTATGTATTCATATGTGGTAAGTAGAAAATATTAGATAATAATATAATATTAAGGACCCTATTTCAAAATAATGAATAGACGAAGTGTCAGTTTACAGTGTTGACAACTAAACATTCTGAGAAACGATAAATGAAACTTTCTATGATTTTTTACTGCTTGTACTTGTAACTAACGTTACTGCAGTTTCATCCTATAGGGCCATTTTCAAATGAAGTTTATGGTATTCGTTTCAAAATATCCTTATAAGACAAAACTGCAGTACGTTAGTTACAAATTCAAGTGGTGAAAAAATTTCTTTTTTTATGATGAGCTCCTACCACATAGTAACGGCTACATCCATAAATTTATCTAAACATTCTTTTGTTAGGATACAATATTCCCTAGGTACAACATGCAGTTTTGCATAAATTATCATTCATATGCTTCGTAAACGCATTTCGATGTCAATCCAGAGACCAAGGCAATACTATAGGCAATATTTCATTAATCATTATGAATCTACTTTAAATTGCAATCTGATTTCGTTCAATTTTTTCTTCATAACTTTGGACTTAGTTGCATTTAGTTTGAGGTTGCTGTAAATCTTTACTCATTTAATTTGTCACCAGCGGTCCGCCCCGGCTCCACGCGGGTGTAATGCTGATACTAAATATAAATTCACCCACGGAAAATTTAAGGGCATGGAGAGAAAATAATTTTGTTTTATGGACGCGCCTTTTTTTCCCGCATCTTGCGTCCCAGTTGGAATATTTAAAAATTCTTTCTTTGCACATCTACAGCATAATACGAACCTACATACAAAATTTCAGCCTCCAAAAAAATAGCGGTACGGAGAAACAGTGTTAGCGCCACGGGAGGCGCTCCAGTTGAAAGTTGGAAGACCTAAGAAGCACCTGTATACCAAATTTCAGCTTCCTAGGACTTACCAATACGGAGAAACAGGGATGAATGAGTGAATGTTAGGTGAGTGACTTTCGCATTTATAAGTATAGATTTCAAGACGATCGTCTACTGAAAAACTGAAATACATTTGCGTATTGTCAATCAGCATTCTGTTGGATTGTATAATCACACAAAAACGCTTAGAAGTAGAAATATAAATTGAAAAAAAAAATGGTTCCACGGATCGATCTCGAAGAAAAACCATTTTCACATTCTACAGTTTCAGAGCGTGGATTCTCAATGATGTTGAATTTCATTACTTCGAACTTTCATTATTTAATATTATTTGAAATCTTTGATTCATCGTCATCACCTGAAGACGATTGTGGAAACGTCGTGAAGTAACTTGGCTTGAAATCTTTCAATTTTAATTATTTTATTTCATTTCAATTGTTTAATTTTCATTTTTTTGCTTAATTTCATTTCTTTGTAATTTTTATTTCAGGTGTTTTTTGCTTAATAAAGGTAATTTTTATTTTCAGCTAATCTGTTTGAATTTTTCTAAACCATTTTGTCATTGTCAACCACATTCAAACTCTCATTGATGTACTGAGAACGTCCTGCAAAATAACTCTCAATGAGACTGGGTGCAGTATCGCTAAAACCATGATAAGTGTTTTATTTTTGAGAGGTGAGATTTTGGCTAAACAGTTTACAAAACCGTAACACGTGTTACGTGTAACACAACAGATTCCTCAGGTGTGTTTATACAACTGAATTCTACATAATTAGTGCTTTATATAACAATTGGAATCGTATGACTTTCTACATACGCAATGACTAATATGAAGTATGAACTAATTACCAATTTTCACATTGGAATACAAATTCAACAGCTGGGAAGAATTGAATTATATTGGGTCATTCAGTAAATTTTGAACATTTTAATTGTTCAGTGGAAGTAATACTTTTTATATCCTTACAAAAGAATGGGACACCAAGTAACGTTAGAAAGTCATGCTTCAAAAATGATCTTGCTATGATGTTGGATTTGTCAAGACAAGATGAGAGTCAAGAAATTTGAGAGAATGGTAGCACTGAAGCTGTATTCAAAAAGGAATTACTTTCTCACCGCGCTAAAATAAGAGTAAATGTGAATGAAAATCCTCAGTGTTAATCGAGAAGAATTAAAGATCACCGAGAGCACGAAGATTTTTATCCGCTCCACCAGACAGTGTTCCTAGCGAACAATTATTAGTAGCGCAGCTTTAATTTGCGTAACCGCCTTGAATCCGAAAAAGCGGCAATATTACATTTTATTAAGTTAATGCTCCTGTTTTTAACTCCACTAACTTATATGAAAATTAGTAAGTGAAGTTGAAAAAAAGGAGCATTGTACTTAATACTAATTTTTATAAATAAAAATGTTTTTAAATATTTCATCATTGTTATAAAATCTTAAACACCCGCAACATCCGCGGATGTGAGCCTTCAAAAATTCACATTCATATTCGCGTATGTGAAAAAATCGGCATCCGCAACATCCCTTATTCAGAGCAGAATAATGATAATATAGGAATATGTAACGGAGGCTTTAGCTGCTGGGAAGAAAGGAGCAGAGACAGCTCGTCATGTCTTATGAGAATGTGAGGCATTGGATCACAGAAGGCAAACAATTCATGGGCAACCCGAAGTAGGTCCATAAGATACAAGATACCTTTACAAATTAGGAAAAACCCAATATACTCCTAAGGCTGCAGTATTTTTCGGAGAAATTGAAGAATTGGATAAATCACACGATATTCTGAACAGGAAAAAAGTTGGTTTACTCACCAAATGTAGAATTTTTCGAGTCACTCTTCGGTAACATCATTTTATGATGGTCCAAATCCATATCGAAGTCCTCATCGTCTCCTATCGTAACGTCACTGAGATCAAAGTCGTCGTGGTGATTCGAAAAATTTGATAATATGTTACCGGCATGGTGTTCATCCACGGTGAAATTGAGTGCTCGTCCCTTCGGTTCTTCCTTCGAGAAGACTGAGCGTTGAACAGTGTTCAGTTCTGAGGATGGGTTAGGACTCGGCCTGAAAACGTTGTACGAATCCTCGGCCAACATATCCAAAGATTGAGGCCTTGGTAGAGGGGCTGTCGTCTGTGTTATCACCTCTTGGCTAGTGGACAGTCTTTCGATTTCTGCAAACAGAGGAAAAAACTTGGTAAAGTTAAATATCGTATATTCCGCATTCAATCTCACAGCCCTTATACTTTTGTTGAATGAGATGAGTGAACTTTTTATGAAAATATGTGAACATAGTTCGTTCTGATGAATAATGAAACACTCTATATATTAGAACTGGTAAACTTGATATTAACTCGTGTACGAGTATGTTTCTGTTACTTTATTATTTCTGATATTTCGAAGGGTACAACTTCTGTGCGTTGGCATATAGGTATTTTTTTCAAATCCGTAATGTATATTCGCGGCCAGTTTTGAAAAAGGATTGTTATTGAATATCTTGATGAAGACTTTTCCAACAGATAGATTGGTAACAGATCCATTCGATGGCCAGATGTTTCTCCAGATTTGATGCCACTCGATTTATTTCTGTGAAATAGTTCACACCACTTCCCCTTCTGCTTCAGATTTCAGCTTCCTTTTGAAGATGATCACTTAATGATCGAAACACGTGTCGAGGTGTATTTTTAGGAAAAGTAATGTAACTTCTAACGCCTGATTTTCTACACATGGATTATTATCATTTATTCCATAATAAAAATACAATTCAGTTTGGTCGTGAAGCACCCATTATGAAAGAAAATTCAATCTATGAATGGCTTTTATAATTGTTTTTGAGGTATATGGAAAATAACCATCTCATCAAGTGTTTTATATTATTTTTTATGACATTTAATGATATCATCACTAACAATTTTTCTATACGAGAAGAGCAAATCTCCAACTTTTCTTCAATATTTTATATTTTTAAAGTTGTTTTTCAAACTTTCCAAAACAGTAAAGTTCTATGAATTGCTTATAAAATCACTGTTCCCGAACAAGTGTGGATTTAAAAAAAATGCGTTGTGGTATATGATAAAACAATTAGATGAAGAAAACACTTTAATCACCGCTACAAGAAGTTGTTTTTGGGAGAGAAGCACAAATATTCAAGCATACTTGTTAAATATAATATGAAGTTATTTTGATTGAAAAAATCATAATCAATCCGATATAGAAAATCGTGGGGTCAAGGAATTTAAAAGAAAAAAGAAGCAATGTGAAAATCCATTGGTATATTTTGATTCAGATGGAAGAACTATAAATTTCGGAATGGTTCAAAGAAAAGAGGACGAAAAACAAAAATTCTGAGATTTACGAAATAAAATGTGAATAATGTGATACGAAGGATGTTGGTCAGACTAAGCAAAATATAATAGCTCGCTACAAAGAATATGTTTCACATATTTACTTCCATAGACCAGATAAGTCCAGTGTCGCTCAACATGTTCTAGAGAACGACCACAGAATTGGCGGGCAATGCTTAAAACCGGTACATGACAACAGGTTTTCAGATGGCTTCGGTTTAAGAAACGCGAAAAATGGAATTTGTTCTATGAACAGCGACAAAAGTCCCAATCCTAAAAGCCTGTTATTTACCCTCTGCCGTAATAATTGCAGGTAGAAAACAGGTGAAGATTACACATTAGAACAGGAAGTAATTAACATTAGAAAAAATAACATGGCATATAAAAAAATCAAGATAGCAGTAAAATATGGTCTTAGAGAGTATTTTTGTTCTGTTGTGGATCTTCAATAGATTTATTTCACGCCAGAGTTCTCAAATTTATATTTAGCTGGAATTACTCCAAAATGCTAACAATCCAAACCTTACTAATATCATTTAATAATTCTGCATATATTGAAGACGAAATGATGTTTCAACATGATAGTGTTCCTCCACTTTGCCACAAAATGTGCGAAATAAGGTTGCTAATTAGGAGGAAAGAGTGATATTGAGTGCCCTTCTCAGTTACCCGACTTGAGTATTCAGATTTTTTGGAATCGTATTGTTGACATATCTTCGAAAAGAGTGGTTCGAATTTCAGAAGCGAAGCATGGATGGGAAATTGGAAGCATTGAAGTGTCAATCGACCTCTATTCTCTTTTTAAATTTATAGATAAACCTGCTTAGAGGGTTGAATATTTTGTAATGGTTTTTGGGTCAAAACTTGTCCCCCTTATGAACAAATTTGGCGTGTTACTGCATTTTTCACAGTTATGCTTCGCGCTACGTTTTTATTTTTTTATGCATTAGAAGGTGAGTCCGCCTCGTATCTCAGTCAATTTATGAATTAAATTGCAATTATCAGTCACTGGTACTTGTTGGATAATAACGGACAGCTGATAATAACTATGTTGGATTTGTGGAGCGAAAACCCATTACTCGCATCTCAGACATGATTCATATACAAAGTACCGTAATCATTTCTGACAGAAACGTGCGAAATTGTGTCAGGCCATTCATTTCTTACTTTTTTCTAATTGTTAGTACATGAGTGACGGTGCCGACTATACTCGTTCAACTCGTTCAATTTATACACACAATAACAATGTTTCGGAATACTGTATATTAGGGCTATTGGCCCTAAGCTCTATCTACTATTTTTTCATATCTTTCTGTTTTATGCCACCTCTGTCCATCTCCTACCTCCCATTTGTCTCAGATCCTCCTCAACTTGTTGTTTCCTCGTAACTCGCGGCTTTCCCTTTCTCTGTTGTCAAGTGACTCCTTGTTTATAACTTCACAGGCCATACTTGCATCTTTCATTCTTGAAATATGTCCTAACTATCGAATCCCACGAGACTTGATACTCTTTATAGTGTCTAGTTGTCCATACAGTTCGTACAGTTCTGGGTTTTTTCTTCTTTCCCAAATACCGTCCGCCCTCTTCACTCCGAATATTTTCTTTAGCAGCCCTATTTCCTTACTTTTCTTTTTTTTTGTTAACGCCCAAGTTTCGCTGGTTGACGATACTGTAGGTGTAAAACCGCCCGATACATTCTTATTTTAGTTTTGCTTTAAACTTTTTATTTCAACAGTCTGCACACATTTTTTTTTCATTTTTTGACTGACCTCTCCCTAATTTCCTCCATTGTCATGGAATATTGATTCGAAATATTTCTAGCTTTCGACTTTATTGATACATTTTGCCCATTTTCTTGCTCCCTGATTTTCAAATTAGTCTTTCCCCTCTTCAGGATTTTTTCTAGTTGTATACATTTTTTATTTTTTGAATTTCCTTGTAAAACTTGAGACGACTTGTTTTGTTTGTGCCATCTTCATAAGCTAGACACTGACTACTCCTGTTGCATAAAGGTTTCTTGATTGGTCTTCACTAACTAGCACTAACCAGCTCCTTTAGAACACTATATTTCTTAAGAATTGAATATATTTCATGTCTCTTCATGTTGTCGTATGCTTCTGTAAAATCTATAAAAGCTACATTTATATTTAGCTGGTGTTCTTAGCTCGCTTCCTGGTTCTGCTTGATATTTGAAGTAATATTCAATATCGACTTCTTATTATTATCACGATCATGATCCATTATTTGTATTACCTTCGTTACCGGCTCTGCACATGAAGGGTGCAGAAATATAAAATTCATAAAAAAAAGTAGCTGTCCCAGCAAACGTTGTTTTGCCACATGAATTATTTCCATCAGAACAATAACTCTTAACGATAATAGTAATCCCTCAATGCTATAGTGTGTACAGAGTGGAGCAAATTTGTCCTGTCATTTTTGGTCTATTTAGGCCTGTATTTCGGAAAGTGGACATACCCAACTGTAAATTTGCATAAACTTTGTATTTTGGCATCATAAAAGTATTTCAAAATTCACATATGATTCGACGGCCGCAACTTCAAAAATTGGGGGTCAAAAGTTTAAAAAAAACGACTTTTTGCACGTTTTTTTGCCAATATCTCGTTTCTAATGAGTAGAGAATTGAATTCTCTACAACTTCTGTTCCAAACATTTTTTCATACGTTGAATCGTTTTTGAGATAGACGTTTAGATTCTTCAATAGCTGTCTCAATAATGAGAACATCCGCATCATCTCTGGCCTGTTTAGTGTTGATGTATTTGTTAATAAAAAATGAAAATTATTTATAATTATTTATTAAGTAATAATTTATAAACCTTTTTGAAGTTGCGGCCGTCGAATCATTTTTTTACAATACTTTTATGATGCCAAAATACAAAGTTTATACAAATTTACAGCTGGGTATGTCCACTTTCATAGGAAAACCCCCTAAAATGACTGGACCAAAATTGGGCACTTTCAAAACTCTTTCAAAACTTAATGGTGAAAACCGCATATCGGTATCATCGTTTCTGAGTTACGGCATGTTTTTCAAAAATATGAATTTTCGAAAAGTTGCTGTACCTTTTTGTAACACTTCCAAAGCACTTTTTCACATAGAATTCAATGGTGTGAAAAAATATTTTTTTTCAAATGAGATATCGATAGTTATTGATGGAAAACTATTTTCTCAATGAGACAACTTGTATATTCTTGCATAGTGCACTAGTGATGTGCCGAGTCGCTGTTTTGATGTATCGATTCGACTTGAGTCATGTTTATACGGTATTCGAATCATGACTCGATTCCCTGATTCGAGACCAGTACTCAAATTCTATGTTTGGTATTCGAATATTGCTCGAGTCCGGCTGGACAACCGATTTTAGAAAAAAGGGAAAAATGAAAAGGAGTTAAATTCAAACAGCGTGTAGGTTAGGTTAAGCATAATGACACAACAATAATAAATCAATAATTTTCAATGAAAGATAATTATAACATTAAATAAAAAAAATCGATATATGATCCAGAGCGAGCTATCGTTTGTATTATAATGACGTAACATAGCCTTGAAGTAAGCGTTAAATTGCGTGGGCAACCCCGGTATCATCGATAAGCTATGGAGTTTTGAAAATATTGGATGCGTTTTTAAAAATACGAAAAAAAAGTTTAAAGCTCGTTCAAGTTTAAAAATGGTTGGATGACTGCATTATGAATAAAAAAAACAGCTGTAGATTGTTATTGATTTTTTTATATCGACAAATAAAATTATCCGGATTTTTTTATTCTAATAGGTATTTGAAAAGACCGTATATTTTGCGAACGATTAGGAATA